CGTGCCCTACACTACACATCGACCAACAGCGGTCGGGTTAAATCCAATCGAAGAGGTCAGAGTGGACAAAATAAAATTGCGGCGTTTGTATAAGCTTATAGTAGTATAGCCGTGTGTGTTCAACTTCTAGGTCAGCACGATACCTTGAAGATATAAACACACTCACACACTCACTAATTATTATCATACGACGATTACCGGTTGTTCTTAGGTGTGTGTGTATGTAAGAGAGAGACACAAAGAGAGAGAAATAGAAAGAGAGTGGAAGAGGAAGAACAGGAATGGAATGTGTTACAGGCGCTGGTTTTGAAGACATACACACACACACACACACAGGTGGGTCAGCTTCATAACGGTAACGTTGAATGATCGCATGCCACTACACAATCATTATATCTAGGTTGATAGCAGCGCCGGTGTAAAATATATTATCTACCATAATCGCCGTTTAAATAAGGAAAATCTATTGTATTGTAACTTGTAAGGCAATTATTCCTCGTCAGGAAAATCTCGACCGTCGTGTCACCGAGCATTACAAAACAATTTTTTGAACAAATTATATTTTTATGATTTAAAAGTATTAGTTTTATGTGTTTTAGGTTTAATAGTAATATATCGTAAGACTCGCGAAATGCGAGTTTAACTTGTTCAATACACCAGCTATAATATTATTATACTTGTACTTGTTTCTAATAAAAATTGGCGTCGAGTGTGATCCTGGTAATGAAATACTGTTTAATTATTATAATTGACATTTGCGGGTATACTATTATGAGTACTTAGTGTGCTAATTTGAGCAATAAATATTATAAATATTTGATATTATATGTATGTAAACGCACGTCACAACATTAAAATGTGATACGAAATGTATGGAGAAAATGAAGCAGACAGCATGTTATATTAATTTGTAAAATTTCTATTTACTGCTGCTCAAAACGCCATACGAAATTTATATATACGACAAAACATGTACTTTTTATCGTTTATGTGATGCGCAATGTTTTAGTTGTAAAAATAATTATAGACAATTGACGGCGAGAAACCTTATTCTGATACTAAAAGAAATATAAGTATTAAGAAATATTAAAGGGTTACAATGTTTTTGTAGTATAAAACGATGTTCCCTCTACAAAAATTAAGTCTCAAGAAAATTGGCAGCTTTAAAGTTAATTTCCCAAAAGTTTCAACTAGCAAGATTGTTCTTTTCTGACCTAGGCCTAATAATGTACCAATATAAATATCTATATAGTTTTTTTATATTATAGTCATATGACTGTCAGTTACGTAAAAATATACATTTAATCAATAATCTGGTTTGAAAAAAAATCTAAATTACGTTTATTTAATATATATATATATATATATATATTATAATATATATATTGGTAACGTTGCCAAAATATACATTAATTATATTTTGATTGTTTTGTTGAGAGATGCTATCCAATAAAAAACTGGTTATATTTATTAATACTTAAAATATATTATTTAACATTATGATCATACTTATGTCTCCCTCTTAAAGGACGACTACGGTAGTATACTTAATTTATGTCTTAAAGAAGTGCACTTGGATACATAATACATACCTACTATTTTTTTTATATACCTACATTAGGCTCGTTTCAAGTAAAATGGTTATATATTATATAATAAAATAGGTAAATTAACTTTTCCTTGCCGTTTAATATTCGTGTATGAAAATGTAGTGGTTTTAAAAGTTGATAGAGCTAAAAAGTTGATAAAAGCTCTAGCTTTAAGAAGTATTAAATGGTAATACTTAGAAGTTATATTAAAATGAAACACTTTAATACTGCAATTATTATTTTCCGAGAAAATGAGTGACTTATGTTAAATAAATTACTTTGTATACCTATATACATTGAACATCAAACTATAAACATTGGGTGTGAAATGATTACACTAGTAGTTTTGCACGTCTGTAACATTGTACGTTTAATCCGCCAGATGGGCAAAAACTATTAAAATGCATTTGACGCATTCTTTATATAAAAGGGAGTAGAAAAATATGACTTCCTCAAAAGGGAAAGGTTTATAAGTGTTATGTAGAAAGGTATCATAACGGTGCCAGCAGACGATATGCATTTATGATTTGTCTTTGGCCATTCCAATGAGTAAAATTATGATACTGAAATAAGTACCTATACACGCCCAAAGTAATTTCAAAAACTGGCTTTCTCGAAAATTGTATTTTATACTAACAAATGATTTAGTCAAGTAGTAAAACAAAACGCAATAAATGTCATAACACGTTATTTTAATATTATTAGAGATAAGTTAAAAAATATTAGATTTCAATCAAGAGTCGAAATCTAAACGTTTTTAATTGTTTTCTAAAGCATGAATGGAAATTATATTTCTTTATATTGTCTACGTTCGTATGTATAGTGCCACGCTGAGCTAGCCGATTTCAGTACCTATGCAGGGTGGCGGTACCAATAGAGCTGACAATAATAAATAATACATTATTTACCATATGAGAGTAAGAAAGCTAAATACGTATGATATGTACCTACTGGTTTTCCTGTAGGAATTTCCGATTTGTCATAAAAAAAAAAGTTAGCCATTCATTATATTATTATATATACCGGTCTGAGCCGAAGAAAGTCATTATTATCGCTTTCCCTCGTTCCGCGAAACAAAATAGTATGCATCGGCTAATATTATTCCTTGATGCCTAAATAAGGTTAATACCGTTTACTTACACCTTGCCATTGAATAATATCGAGAAAAGAACCACACACATTGGTATCGGGAATATATATATATATATATTTTTTTTTATACTTAAATAAACATTTTCATCTAAACGTGTAACAATTATAAAAAAAACATCTCAAAATATTTATAGTATATAACGAAATGATGCAATACATTATGTGTATTACAATGTCATTCACCAATATAGAACATTTTGGGTAAACTGTACATAATTAATTGTAATACATAATTGTACATTTTTTGTAGTCATTATAAAACATAAAGTTATAACTTTACATAAGTCGCACGCAAAAAAAATCCAACAATTTTGAAAATGACTAAAAAGTATTTAGAACTTAAATTTAAAAACATCATAAATCTATTTTATCCGAAACAGATATCTGATATATAGACTATAGTGCGTAAAAATTGTGTAGGTCATAGTTTAAATATAATATAGGTATCAAATTATTCATAATTTCGTTTAAATTATATAATAACAAATTGTTATACTTGTATTTTTAATAATACTTTGTGATTTGGTAATATCAACTGTATAATAATAATTATAAATATTATATAAATCATATTATTATTTAAATCAGTGTCCATTGTTTAGGATTTTTTTATTTAATTGTACACAACATTTATGTTCGTGTATAGTTTAGATTTACATGGTTTTAAAAAGTGTTCTATTGCATGACTATAGTTATAAACTTGTTAAGAATTTTCTAATTGTGTTTGCAATATATGGTTGATGGGTACAGTTATGAACATTTAATAGTGTGTACATACACGTGTACTAATGTATTTTTCCTAGATACATAAATCAAAATATTGTTGTTGCGGCACATATGTATCGCTTCAAATTTATTATAATGAAATTATTATTAAATATAGGTGTACAACAATACTTATACAATAAGGCCGCTTGTTTCTTTGTCATAATACTGAACGCATAATGTGATAGAAGTACTACAATTAAACAAACTTGCGATGCAAGTTAAAACTATTTACTTAAAACGTTAACTAGAATACAAATGCATTGTTTTATCATTTCCAGTGACTGCTTCGCAGTTTATCGTTATGTACCATACTATTATCATTTGTTTGTACCTAGTTTTCTTATAACATCACAATTTCCCCAAAAATGAGATCATGTTCGCATTGTGCAAACTTTACATAACACACAATAACAATATTTTGTATGTCCATGCCTATTGTGAACGTATTATTATATTAACCAAATAGAAAACATCTTGACAACATTTCCTGGTAATTGTAAAATTAATTTTAATTGCTTGCTGTACTTTATTATGTTTCTAAATTAATTGTCGAATCTTAAGGATGTTACATAGAGTACAATAGACAAGATTGTTTGAGAAATCGTACATGTAAAAATAAAATAATAAACATAAAACTATTTACATGTTAGCCTAGGACTAAATTAATATAGGTATTTTACAATTTTTTAGAAATACATTTTTGTTTTGACCTAAGAAAATAGTTTGACTTATGAATAACAGTCAATGGTATTTATTTACGAAAAGATATAACTGACAAAGCGTAGTTTCCCATTTCTTCATTACATTCATACCTACATCCGTTTAATTACATAACGTACTAGTGCATGGATTACACTATACATTTTAAACCATGAGTCATTTTGTACTTGACGGTATAATTTAATCTCTATTTTAAAATACAGCATTTGTAAAATTTGAACCCAGCTTAACGCCGATCACATGTTATTTTTTACTTGTTGAGTTATGTTAAGTACCTAACCTATTCCATTCGCATGAAAAAATTGTCAACATTTTTTTTTGTAAGATATTTACAATAGCAATCTGTATATTAAATGTATTATACACTCAAAAATTGATTTATATTCAGTTTTTTTTTTGTTTTATGAGTAAATAAAAGCGGAAAACGACCACTGACGATTATATTATAAAACATGGATTACGGATAACGTTAATATTGTTTGTACCTATACTATATTATAGTTTACCTACCACTACAATAATACGCCTGCATGTTTACTAAGGAATTTATGGATGTTTATTTATTTTCTTTCGTTTTCTGTATAACTACGATTTTCCCCCGAACGAAATCCGTGAAAATAAAATTCCGTTTCCGTCGGAGCGCGGTAGTGATGGCATTGGAAAGAAGAAATGGTAGTGGCCGAATATGTGGGTCACCCGCTGAGGCCGGAACAAGTTCAAGGAGGGATTCGTCAAGAGTGAGAGAACCGGTCGCGTTCCATGCAGGGGCCATTTACCTTGTGTCAGTTGTATCAGAAGACGTCGAAAAAGGAAGACGGATTTTGCTGAATTTGATTCCATTCATCTGTTGTGTTAGTTTTTTGATTTAGTAAAAAATTCATAATATTATAATATAGTTGTGACAGAACTGCAAGCATCATCTGAACAAAAGAACATTTCGGAGACTTTAACGCAGGTGAGACCAGAAACATTTAAACATGTCAAGTCAATTATAATATGTTATCGACTAGGTGTTTTGTCATTTAGTAGTTATTTAGAGGAAAAATAAAAGTTATATTATATATTAAAAAATAACATTACAAGTAAATGATTTATTTTGTAATCCATACAAATGCATAATTAACACAGATAATAATATGATAAATTCATAACTTTCGTTGGCCAGCACTTAGTATGTTACACTATTTCCAATATTGAAGCATGTAAACACGGTATAATAATAATTAATATAAGTTATGATAATTTAACAGAATCAAAGTATTTTTTAAAGGCTTAAAAACAAAATTAAGTTGTCGTGTATAAATGCTAGTCCTACAGTCGGTATATGATGTATACATACTATATACCTATAGGCTATAAGATATTTGAACGCAATGAGATTTAATTTGTCAATTGCATTGTATAACGCGGTACACAAATCAATCGGCGTTTAAAATTTAAAATTAGCTAAACATATTTTTTATTCGAGTGGGTTAAATTTTAAAGACATTTTTAAGCGACGGAATATTCTATGTGATTACTGTTACCTCATTTGCATATTATGTGTACATAGTTATTTAGTAAAACAAAAACAAACAACCGATCATTGCCGTCTGTTCGGGGATTCATTCATTGTGGCTGTCGCGTAGGTACATGCCCACCCGAGTGATGATGAGGTCGACGCGAGATGATTTCACCTCACTTTCTCCCAACAACTATGTGTCATAGGCATAAATATTGGTTCCAATTACAAAGTGAAATTTGTATGAGAACGAAAAAAAAACCCAGTCTTCCCAGCCTTTTTCATACGTTGTGACTTGTAGTCGCATGCATTGGACGATACGCGGGCAAGCCGTGCCCCGACGACAGTCATTATAATAATAACAGATTGTAAATAAGTAAGTGCTTCTCATGTATGTATAAGATATTATCGTAAATGATAATCGAGGAAATGTAACGCACGATTTTGTCCTAGTTGATGACACGAAAAGCGCATTCGGGACATAACGAACATCTACAAGGTGTCCTACTACAAGGTACGGTCATTGGCCATTGTGTTCTATTGACCAAATCAAAATTTAATACTTCAGTTTTTTTTCTAAATTCTACATCAAAATTTCCCTACGTTATGTTTTTTTTTTATGTCACAAAATCAAATAAAATAATTCCTTTTACAATCAAGAGCCACGTGTCGATAACACGTTATGAATATTTATTATTCTATAATGTATGAACGTTTAAAAGTTTAGGACGACCAGCGAGGTTCAATGTACTACTAATTTTATCCGAGCAAACTCGCATTTCTTATTCACTCGTCTCAAAGTATATTTTTATGCTCTAAACTCGAAAGTACATTTTATTTTAAAAAACTGGTTTTCATCCGGTCTCGCGATTTTTATATGATTTTGCAAACAAACTGTCAAAATTATACTACGTACGGATTTACATAGTGTAACGGTGACGTTAAAAAAATAAAAAAATAAAAATTCAGAATCTCCGTATAAATTGCAAACAAGGTCGACAGGGTGTCACTTGGGACACCCTATACATATAGATGCTGCAGAACTGTGTAGACAAAACAAAATTTTTTTAAAAAAAACAATGCGACGGAAAAGTCTTTTACTAGTATTATAATATGCTTATAGTATACTATATTATTCAAATGAAAGTAACCTACCGCGTCGGCAGTTGGACAATGTGGGTTACTTGGTTATTGTTGCGTGTGCGTGACACTGACTCTATGGCGGCGGCGACGTGGTCAAGGTTAGGCGTGGGCCACTTTTGGTCAGCACTTCTTCCGGAACTTCACAGTACAATTCTTTTGATAATAACAATCGAGTAGGTAATGCAGCTATTTTCTAGGTTACCGACGGAGTCCAGTTTGGACGTGTAACGATTGTAATTATTATTGTTTTGGTCATAATAATATAACTACCGCGTTTTAAGTTTTCACGCACATTCATTTTAATCCACGGCCCGTTTAGTGTTTTTTTTCTCAACATTCTACAAAGAAAAAACACCTATCGCTCCTAGGAGAGACTAAATATACCTCTACAACCTACCCAGTATTATTGTTAGCATATTTAGTTATAAATTAAATATGACTCGTAGTACAGTTTAACAGTAAAATATAAAATATGTAATATTGCCATTAGTGACCATTGATCATATATATTTGGGTATGTAAAATATAATGAAAGAGAAGAAATTATTTTATTAACTAAAATACGAGTATAATTTTACCTACTTTTTCATATTAGAAATTTACTATTTTCGTTTCTAATAATGAATTGATAGAAAGAATAAAACGTATGCGCGTCTTTATAAATCATGCAAGTCAAAAAAATTGTATGTTTTAAACTAAAACTTATCAAAAATGTAGAAATCATTAATGACTCTTGTTAAACCAATGTAGCCTTAATATATATACAACTTTTAAACAATCGATAATTTGGTTATTGTTGCGGAAATGAGATTTTTGAGGGTGACGTGTGGAACAAAATGAGAATAAGAGAAGCTTATAATAAGTAGATGAGAGAGAATAGATATCCAGGTAGTTTGGACAAATTATGAAGAGAGCTGAGAGAGTGAGCAATTTAGTAACGGATGCAATGGAAATTAATGTAATAAGAAGTCCAAAAAAGTGATGGCTGGATGTAATAAGAGTGATGTAAGAATAATCAATGTGCGTGTGGAAGATGGGACGGACGTTTTGAAAGACGGTTGAGGACTAGAGTGGCCGAATATTTGGGGAAATTAGAAAAAGATAGCATCGATAGTTCCTTTTTTTTTAGATGTCTTTAATATTCGTCGACTTTCAAAACAATGATTATAACATTATGTACAACGTTGTAAACCACAAAATTGGTTTCATTATTCATTGTTCTAATCTTATGGTCAATTCGATATATTTATTGTTTTTTTTTTTTTTAGGGCAAGACCTGAAAACCCCTTTAGGTGTTACTGATAATTTACATGTAAATTAGAAAGCGATAAAATATAATAATATATAAAAATGTCTAACAGTCAACCACTGAGAACAATATTATCCTCAAATCTTAATTAAAATGATTCATATAGAGTTCATATAACACTATTTAATGTACTATAAGTATTGAATTAATGATTTTCTTATGGTCTATTAAATACACGTATAAAGCGTTTCAGCCAGTCGTTCATTTCGAGTGCGTAATATTAGCTGTAAATTCTTAATTAAATCTAAAGTTAAATTCAATGAAATTATAAAATAGTGCATAAATTAAAATTTTATAAAAGTAATGACTGAATAATCGATATTTTAAGTAATTGTTTGAATAATAGTGCAAATATAAAATTGATCGAGAGAGTTTTTGGAACGGTACTGCGTGTGAACACTCTGATTTAGCATACAGGGAATCAAAAATATAATAATAATTGTCCACCGAACTGGGTTAACGTAATGAGTTATTCTCTGAACACCTAAAGTACAAATAATTGATTTTTTCAAAACTGTGTTAATTAAAATTTTGTTTTTTATACTGCTTGATATAGGTATAGGATCATTTGGGAAAATCCATTGTTTAGAGAGAATTAAATTTTTACCGTCGGCGCACGAATAATAGCTAGTCATTATTCGTTCCATTATCACGAAATTAATCCATAGAAAACAAGATTTTATTCACAACAATCTGCATGACACACATTAGTGTAGGTAGGCCTAGTAAGAATTGATCTCTCTGCTCTCATCCGTCGCGTGCCGCGTTAAAACGAAAAAAAAACCCCTTTAGAGATCTACAACCGATACATTTGTATGCATATAATGTGTAAGATGCGATTTTGCTTTTTAAAACAATTGATTTCACACGTTTTTACTTTTTAGATTGAGCATTGACCGCACTTACACACGTTATTATTTACTTTCTACATAAGCACGTGACGCGTCTAGCGAAGGTAATGCGATACAAGACAATGCAATTAAACGCATGTATGATCAATAATAAGTGTATTATCGGATGAGTTTTTTTTTAACCAAAACGTTTCACGGTCTAGTGCGAATACCGCGGCAAAAGAATTTCATTTATACCCACTCGATTTGCGATCCGACCAAGAGGAATGCGCAATATAATCTATACTTCTATTCGGGTTTGCCATTACAGCCAATGTTAGCAATAAGACATAATAATATGATATGGGTACCGCGAATAGGTAGAATTTTGGTGAATTACACGGCATTCTTCGTCCAAATAAATATATCATTCCCCGTTCACTGACAGTATGAGTCCGACACAACAGGTACCTGGATCGGCGACCCAACAACAATTAGGTACACTCATTGTGTGCGTTTTGACAGAAAAACATGTTAAGTCGATTAAAAAAAATAAACCAATTGCCATGAGCAGACCCAAACCGTAAACAATCCTTTAGGAGCCTTAATACTCGTAGTTAGTCATCGTAGTAATATGGGCAATTAAACAAAGGGCACTCCTCGAATATTGCAATCGTTAACCCGAGAAAATGTCAAGCGCGCAGAGCTGCCAATAGAAAATTAAAAAAAAAAAAAGAACTTACACCGTAATCGAATTAATATAGTTTCTAAAAATTTCTAAAGTCAACCGCGGTCGGATAGTGTAACAATAATAATGATAATAATAAACCTAATTTAATTCTGTATTCGATGCATCGCGTAAACATTTTAAGAGCCCTCTCCTTTCTCTAATTGTAAAGGTTTTTTCCCGTTACTTTCACATTTTTTTTTCTCTTAACGTGACCCAACGCTTAACGTAAAAAAAAAAATACAATAAGTATTATCAGATTAGTATTAAAAAAATTGTCTAACAGTCGCTTTACAACCGCAGCAGACCGCGTACCGAGAAAACTCACAATTATTATTGTCGGTAAAAAGAGTGTTAATTTTTTAAAAAATGATTTTTTTTTCGCTATAACGGGTGATCCGAGAGGACACGTGATAATATTTATTAACGATTAATATTGCTACTACGTAACCGATACAACGGTATGATCGCAGGGTCATTGACGCGGCCGCTATAATATCATGTATTATATTATTATATTAGCAAAACGCATACCTATACAGGATACATGAAACTCAAGGTTTTCGACCTCTTAGCAAATTGTCCGATGACAAAACGCGTTGACAAGTGTGTGTATCATAGAAAGCTGCACGTCGTATGTATAAATTGCGTTTACCTACACATCAACAACCGGTTTGCGGCCATCGTTGCAGATAATAATAATATACTTACTATGTTTGTACGAAAATAAATCGGCGTGAAATTTTGAATAACGGCTCTCTACAACCGCATTTACGGTAATAATTATTATTATTTCCTTGGCTATATTGATACAGGTATATAGTACACTTGTACAGACCGTATAGACTGTGCCGCAGTAGTTAGTACCTACAGAACCTACCCAGCAGGTTTCCATATCAAAATTATATTGTAAAATTTAGCACTAATTTGCCACCACCATAATATATACTGATAATACTAAAATGCAAGTCACAATTCTATAGTACATTTCGCGACCAACATCGTTGATTTTTGTACCCCGAAAATACTGTCCTACAAGTTAAATCCTACCAAATTTTTTTGCACTCGCAAACGGTCACCTTAAAGACTACTCTCGTGGTATAGTGTCTCTAGAATATTGACAACGCTAATTATTAAACTAAATAATGAGCATTACTGCATTTATTAACAAAATAAATTATTACCATCTCGTTGTTTAACTAATAATAATAATTGTAATGCAAATCTTATACTATTTTTGGCCATGAAATGTGAACAGTAGTTACTGAATTGATTCCGTTGTTGCAAAATCATACGTGTAAAGTCCATTAGCGCTTTCTTCTTCTGAGTATGCCTCGTTGTCGACGCGTTCTATTTTTAGTTGTTTGTTCGTTTTTGATAAACTCGCGATTTTTGACGACTAATAAATTGAAAAATTAGATATTATTTTTTTCAAATGCCTCAAGGTTCTGAAGACTACTATACGAATTTATCAATTATAATATCCTGGTGGAGGAGTTACGACAGTAGTGAATTTACCGAGAGATGTGTACCTATAGTCTTAAAACTATTGGTGGCTAAATGAACTTATAATTGTGTTACTCGTTTGTGAATTTATGAAAATTTCCCCCCTTGGTCGATTTCACACTGGCTGTACATCATACCGTTCATAAGCACCACGAATACTCATATTGCTGTTGTTTTCGGTATTTTTCGCAGATTGAATTATGAGCAACAGACAGGCCATAGGATGGGCCTTCCTGTGCCTGATGGGAACTACAATTGTGGCACCCGTGTTCACCTACCCAAGTACCTCAGCTCAACAACCGCAAGAACACCGCTCAGCCCAACCACAGCAGCACTACGAATCGCAGCACCCCGTGTACCAACCACAACACTATCCAGTCTACCAGCCAGAACAGGACGCTAGGAAATTCGTCGAAAAACCCAATGCTAGCAAAAAAGTCGCCGCCACCACCACCGGAGGAGGTGTGGTCGAAGACCGCAACGACTTGGACGACGTGCAGACGAATTCCATCTCGGTAAGGCTCTTACTTAGCACTGCAACTTGTATAACTTGTGTATCGGTTTTGTTAACGATATCCGTATTTCGATTACAGCAAGAGACGGCCGGTGGCTTTTCGTGGAGCAGCGTTTTGGGAATGATCATGCAAATGTTGTTCAACCCGGCCACCGCCCCAACAGGTCCCAGCAAATCTGATGTTATAGATGGCGAACAAGTAAGTACACACACACCTTTCGGTTACCTGACATTTACACAGTCGAGAAGACGGGTTTTTTTTAATTTAGACGCCACCATTTTCAGGGTATTCCTCCGGCCTCCCCGTGGGCTAATTTGTTTTCCGTAGGTCTGAAAATACTGACCGCATTTTTGGGTGGCGGCAACATGGCGGGAGATGGAATCGATAAAGTAGACAACTCTTCACCGATGCAGGTAATATACGAAAAGTTAAAACCCGTGTACAATAATGTATATGTATATAATAATAAGTAAAAAAAAAACTACGAAGCGCCGAGGACGATCCAATCTTATTTTTCATTATTATGATTTATACCTTTTACAATGACGCAGCGTTTATATACCTATCTATACACAATATTAATGATGACGACGAAAAAAATATAAATCGTACAATTTTCAATTTGGATCGTTCTCCTTTTAAAATGTATCCTATATAAAATATGTGGACCGGGGATTTTTGCAAACGTTCAAATCACTGTTTAATACTTCTATTATCTGTCACTTATTATTAATTGTTGTAATTACATATATTTGAGCTTTATTAGCATATAATAGAGAAAGCGTAGAGCTTTTATGATAATACGAAATATTAAGTGTACAAATCATATACTGTTGCTTATTTACTCGGACTTATATACTACATGATATGGTATAAATTTAAGTTCTAAAACGATAGAACTTTATCTGGCTAAAATACGCGACTCTCACTGAGTGCACTTAAAACATTAGAAAACCCATCTTTAATCACCCCTCACCTCATCTCCTCACTACATGTGGTATGAAAACCAACAAATGTTGAAAGTGCTATTATCAAAACTGGGGCTGCTAATCACATTTAAGGTTCCTCCAAATTGCGATTATGAATCTGACAGAACTCCGGTGGTTCGTGATTTTGGTTGATTTACATCTAATTTCGGTAAATTCCATTTGAATACTCTTGAGAGCTCTCGATTTGGATGGTTCGGGTTTAACACTTCTAGTAGAGTGAATTTGAATTTAAATTTAAGTTTTCCAGGACTCTAATAAAAGTTTCGTTGCAGTATATGTACTATTAGGATGCGCACTTACATAATATATCATTAGATTTCCAAAAAACACAGTATAGTATATGGTTTTTCCACGGAACATTTATAAAATAAAATAAAATAATTGTTTTTTCCACGTCCACACGCTTTTAGTAAGGTAAATTGATTATGTATACTTATTTTTGCTTGTCTTTTTTAATGTAGATTCGTTTTTCTTCTAAGTATATATTTTAATTGGATTGTAATGCTAATGTACATAATACTGTTAGTTCCACTTGAAATCTATTAGAATCTACCGACACACTAGACTAATGTAGTTTTCCCCGGTCCTTAGGATCAAACACTTGTTGATGCTTTTGTTTTTCTATATTATACAAGTAATATTCTATTTAATATATTGGTATATGGTGGCACGGTACGTAGGGTGTATTGGCGGCGGTCTTATCTACAGTACTCGGCAGCAAGGATCCCGATCAAGTGGCCACCATGGCCAAGCAAGCTGGAGAGGTAAGACACCCACACTCGCTTAAGCTACTATCCTTTCAAATATATTATATATGGCTACACATAAGTTCTTAAGTAGATAATCGCTCGACGTCGTACAATAACACCGCACACGAGTTTCAATTCGTTTGTCGAACATTAATATTAATTAACGCACGTTTTGGTCGATGCTTTTTACAGTTCATCAATATCGTCGTGAACCTCTTGGATGCCCTCAAGACCTCTTTCAGCCACAGATCTCTGCACGCCAGATCTATGGGCAAGAAGGATACCGTGTCCGACGCAGCCGTAGCTAGCATTTCTATTTTCAAAGTAAGGCGGTCGTGTTTTTTTTTTTTTTTTTGTAAGCCGAGGTCGTTTATAACACTGTTTTTTTTTCTCCTTGTGTTTGTCTCTACAGGGTTACGTCAAAACCATGAACACCGCCGACGACGTGTGCGCACAAAAGTTCGTGTGCGAAGCCAACAAGGAATGTGCGGGCGAAACTACAAGCTCTAGTGCCATATACTGCCAACTCGGAACGTGAGTTCGCGTTAAGCCAAAGTTCTCAAGAAAAACTGTAGTTAAAAAAAAAAAATTATTTTCGTTAAATTCCAGATACGCTACCAGCTTTTTGCTGCAGAGAGCGGGCACCGCACCTTTCGAAGTGTACTACGACGCCGGAAGACGAGGACGATCGGGCGACGACTGCCGTCAACTGTATTTGGCCTGTAATGAAGTCTAATAAAACCGAGTTCGGAAATTTTCAAAGAACACGACCCGCGACTATACATTTCCCACAAGTTCTTGTTATAGTTTCTTCATAGTACAACTACCGAACAACGTCCTTTCCACGCCAATCCGATCAGAAGAAACCGCGATCTCGTTTCCCCTCCCGATTTTGACTATTTATATACTATACGAATCCGGACATCAGGCTTGACGGTTTTTTCTTTAGGATTTAAACATTTATTTATTTATTTTTTAATTCCGTAACGTTTTACTAAGTAATAGTATAATATATATATACATATATATTATTTTATATATTTAATATATTCCTATTGTTCGAATGACAATGCATTTTGTATCATAGTAGTCTGATTTATTATTTTATGTATATTATTAAAAAAATTATTTATACCTTATTTATTTTAATTTATTGTTTTTTTTTTTTAAATAAATTATTTTATAGGGAATACTTTATAATTAAAATGGTTGTATTAATTGATTTTTAATCCTTTAATATATAACGGTTTTAAAAAAGACACCTAGTCATATAGGCGTGCCCAAAACTTTTTCTCGGCACGTGATCATAATATATTAAATATTAATTAGAGTGGTTTACCTCCTTCGTAGATTTATATCTATACAAACACATTCTTATGAAAGCCTTTAAAATTAATTTTAACTAAAGAGGATTTTTGGTGAGGGGGAGTAATGCTGACAACACTCCCTTGGTCAGATTATCACTATTTTTAGTTATTTTATATATTAACCCAACTTTAACTTTATCTCAGAATTGGTTTTTCAATAATTCAAGAAATAAAGTAGATATTTACTGTATACAAAAAATGTCTAAATTATCATTATAATTTAATTTTACAAATAGACGTAAATTTGTACACAATATTATAATATTATGTGTATAATTTATTATTAATTCTTTGTGAAAAGTGTCAATTGAAATCAACTGAACGTCCGTTAAAAAAATAACTGCATTGTACTCAATAGGTTACATTAGTAAAAACTTAAAAAAAATCTTTTCAAAAATGACTCCAGAATTGTTTTACTTTATGATGTATACAAAATATATTTTAACATGACATATGTCATATTTATTGTATCAATAAATAATAAATAGCCCCAATTAAATGATAGGTTCAATAGAGAATGGTAACAAATAACTTTTGTGAAATTCTATTTACCTATTTGTATTTATCCAATAAATTTAATTACTGGCCCAGACCCCAGTAACGGTTTACCAGAGACAATTATAATTTGAGCAACCTAGCTAATATTTTTACCTGACGGCGAACAGAAAAATTTGAATTTTCATCGTCTAGTAGGGCCAAAAGTGTACTTTTAACATATTCGTGAGCATCAGTCGAATTGGTCACCTGCAATCATAATTTAAGATTATGATTTTTGTTTATTCAAAACAAGACGCCTATTTAAAAAAAATACGCGCCTTAATTATTTTTTAGTCTGTTAAACAATTAAAATGTGTAATTAATCAAAAAAACCTGCAAAGCGTTGAAGTACTGTTGTCTAAATGACGGATTCAAACTTGACCGGACAATTTCCGTAATCGAAGAAGCTATAATCTCACAAAATTCCTTATCAGTTTTATTCTCTTCTGATGTATACTCAGGCATTTTTTTTTTATAAATAATTATTTGTTGAAAAATGTTTTGTACCATAATACTGCGACAATTTACTTCTTACTAACACGCGAATATTTTTAGGGGAAACATAGGTATTACATTAAACGCTGAAATTTCAAGGAACAATTTACTTCAAACTACTAACACGGTTATGGTATATTTATTGGATCTTGCTTCTAAACATTGGTTCAACACCTTGTTTGGGGACCATGTTAATAAATTTTCTTATATTTTCAAAACAGTTTTTGTTTGGAAATAAACTTTTCAACGTTTTAAAATTGCGTTATTCTCTTATATAATCTAATAACTATGTAACTGAAGTTACATTCAATTATATTTTATCCGTGGTCAACATAACCGAAGTAAAACCACAGAACATGTTATGTGGTAAAATAAGTACCTACTCAAATTAATTTATTTTATAAAGATAGTATGTATGTATAACAATTCCCTCACGCTGTTATTTTGTGAATAAAATTGATAATATTGTTATTAAGTGGATAATTAATATACTAACTTGGTATATATTTTAACTTTTAAGTACGAAGCAGAACGAACTAAGATAATAAGGTATCTTAGACCTTAGTTGTGATTTAGGCCATAGAAACTGCATAGTAAAACATGGTCAGTCTGCGCTCACATCTTTCGTTTTTCTACCATTATGATATGTTGAACCATATTTGAGTAATTCATTATACTTAATGGAATTGAGTATAATAATAACTTTTTGTGTATAAAAATGAATATTAAATTTTTTTAAAAAAACGCCTTTAAAAGTCACTCAGTCATTAGTCCGTTGCGAAAGACTAGTTGAAAAATATATAGGTAAACACATTCATGACAATATTTTAACAACAATAAAATCCCTTAATATTTTTTTAAAAGTATAATATTTGAAATTTTAAAAAAAATGTATTGAATTTTGTAAATATTTCAATTTTTTTGTATAGAAAACCTAATAAGTGTCATTATTTCTTTAATTCTTTATACCGTTTAATAAATACAACTTTACCGCTGATAAAAATACTAACAATAACGATTAATAAGTAAGTATTTTTATTTGTACTTCATACAAAATAAAACACGTAAAAATAAAAACAAAATGTTATGATATTAAATATTTTTTAAATAATTTATATCATCAAATTTTTTAAAATAAATAGATACAATAAAAACACTTTTAGAAATAAACTATACAATTATGAATTAGGTCATTAAATTATACTATTATTAATAATAACAGTAAAATATTTAATTATCGTAAGTATGTACATAATACATATATACTAGAACACATTTAAATTGCATAGGCGGTGTCGCTGTCACGGTTCGTCTAATATACAAATTGTTGTGCACAACCATTGAAATTGTCCTTAAACTAGGTCTGCTTCAAGTGGTTTTACACAGATTTTGTTCACCCACCGTCTTGAGATGAAGTCACTTGGGCCCAAATAACGTTCAATGACTTTTCTCTGAAACAAACAAAAAAGTTCTGTTAAATATCAAGTTTTCCGCATTCATCAATCATGTCGACTAATATCATTAACATAAATAAAGGTTTTCACAATACTAATAATTATGACCAATCTCTTTTAATAAGTCGCACATTTCAAACTAGGTAAGAGTACATTAATTATGCACTTTTACATCGGCATTTTGTAAAATATATTTTTTTTAGGAAACAAAATCGTAGCATGGGGCGTTCTGGATCCACATCATCGGCATTAGCGTTAATCGCATTTTTATTTTTCTTGAATATGTTGCAGGTAATATACAAAAGTGTAAAATATCGAGATTTATGCCATGAATGCTACTTACTTACACAAATTACAATTTTTTATACACAGAGATCATTGGATGATAATAAACCGAAAATGCCAATTGTTATGACACGTACAACCACACCACAAACATTACCGCGCAATGAAAAACCAGAAACTGAAAACTCACGTTCAGCGACTACTAATGGTGGAGTTCTCATTTCAAAATTGGATAACAATAACAATAAATATAGTGAAACTTGAAAATATGGTAAAGTAAACGATTCCATAAAATGCTTACCAAATAAATATTAACAGCATATTAAATTTAGCTCATTGTTCAGTGTCTTCATTTTACTAAAATTTTATTACATTTAATTTTAAATGCAACATCTTACATGCTTATAAAATTATATTATATATTAATCTGTACAATCATTATACATTTGGTATGAAATAAAATTTAAAATAAAATAATAATAAGGTATAACATACGCTAAAAATAATAAAAAATACAAATATTAAAGAATTGAGAATTTTAAAACAACTAAGACTATGGTCAGATGTATTTTGTTTGGGTTAGCTTGCTTTCCCCTTGATCTTGACCTAACATACGATTCCAATCTGTTTGACCAACGACAAAACCTATCGCACGCATTTTTTCTTGTTGACGTTGTTCTTCAATATCAGCCCATCGAACCTAAAAAAAAAACGGACAGTGAGTTAACACTGTTACATTAACAAAATTGTTTTTAATGTAATATAGTTAATTAAAAACAGAAATAGTTTATGAAAATAACATTATTTTATTTAGTAAAAACTTTTAATTTTTTTTTTCTGCTAATGTATCACTAACATTAAATTATTAAAATATATATTGATTTAATAATATACTAAGTTTTGGTGCGTATAACGAGCATTCTTTTTTGAGCAAACTTAGTAAACTTCAACACCTGCAACGTATAATTTAGTAAATATTATTTCCTAACAAGAAAAAAAAATAGAAGTGTAATTAAAATCGCTAATACTTATGCTACTATTTTTTAAATCAATTTTTTCTTATTTGATTGGAATACAACATTCTATGATAATCTCGATTTTCAGTAAATGTAACTCAATTAAAAATTATTTTATGTTATTTAAATTAAAATATATTTTAAATAATGTTTATCAAATGGATTTTAAAATTAAGCAAAATGAATTCTGTCGTCTTAAAGTGAAAAAAAATATTAACAAGCAGATTTAATTCATAATGTTTATTAATTGTAACTTTACCCTTTTCTTGCCGTCTTTAGGCTCTTGTTCAGTAATGCTGTAATCAGTTTCAGGAATCTGTAACCATTCCTTAATAGAGTTTTCTGGTTTTTTCTTGCACAATCCATCTAATCTGTCTGTAATTAATATATTTTGTTGTTAAACGAATAAGCAAATGATTTTTAATAAGTAAGTGTTCTCAGAAAACAAAATATAAAGTAATAATACTACATTTTACAACAATTTTTTTAAATTTTATTTACAAAGAGCATATTTACCACATTATTAAATAAATAATTTTCTCTCTTATTTAGATTTAAGTGAAATTATAATTAACAAAGTTTAACTAAATCACCAATTTTTTTTGTCTCATAAAGCAATAAGATAAATATTTATTTAGAAAAAGATTAGCTAATATAAGAATATCCCTTAATGTATTATACAATTTAAAAATAATCTTGATAAAATTTGTTTATGTATATTAAATGTTGATAATAATATATTTATAAATAAAACATACTCATCTTTTCTTCTTGTGGTATATTATCAACCCATTTGCACGATAATAACTTCATGACGTCTACATCCTGTTGGAACATTAGTATTCAAAAAATAGTACAGTTGATTTTTTTTTATCTTGACACTTTTTGTCTTTACAAGACGCTAAGTTACTCAAATTGTTCAATACTGTTCTATACAACTATATATTAACACAAATCATAATTATTTTGAAAATAACCATACTAATATTTATAACACTGATTAAACTCAAGTGTAATAACTGGTAACAGAAAAGTGACAACCTTCACTTTGTTGGCGTGGAAGGACTTGCGAAAAAGGACGCTATATGATTATTTTTAACAACTAGGATGTTTTGGTCATTAAAAATTCATATTTTTCACAATCTATCTACTCAAAATTGAGTAAATATTATAATTTTGGAAAGACATGTTGTATGTAAATGTACTAAATAAAATTTTGTTAAAGTATAGGTACACAAGTTAATGAGTGAAGTTACCTCTTCTTCAAAATCTCCATCATTAGTAGATTGTACATTTTCAGTATTTTCAATTCCATCTTCATTTTTTTCTAAATCCATTTCTACATCTGATACAATTTCCATTTCAACCTTAAAATAATAATGATCAGTAGTAACATAAATTAGCTTTAAATAATGAAATTTTATGTTTAAATACTTCATTATTTGGATGCAGTAAAGATTGAATATTTAACAAAATTTGATCATGAGGCGTTTTAACCCAAGAGTTTGCTATATTGATAATTTCTTGAGATGTTCTGTTGTGGATATTATTTTTAATACAAGAATCAACATCAGATTCCAGTTCTACAACATATGGCTGTAATTCAAACAAAAAATTAGTCTCTAATAGGCAAAGATAAAAAAAACACACATTAAAAGCAATTCAAACTTACTGTAAACCCTTTGGTTTTAGCTATATCTAATATGTCTTTATAATATGTAACTTTATTATTAATAGCATCTAAAATATAAAATGAAAAATAATTTTCCATGACTTTCTTTTTAAATGCCTTTATAAATGATGTTCGATATAAACTTTCATTGGCCGAGTCGTGTTCGTACTCCATAACCTAAAATATTAAACAGAAATAACCTATATTATTTCATTAAATAACTTTTTTCAATTTTAATATGATAAATAAGAAGTTTGGGTTAGTTATTAAAAAGTAATAAATTATAAAAAAGTGATAATTGCTTGTTACAATACAAACATTGTTTTACAATACATACTTTTGTTTTACTTAATTTAAAATGTAATAAAATTACTCAATTAAATCTCACTACGGAAATCCTTACTTTTTGTACACAAATGAAGGGCACAGGGGAAAAACGGTAGTTGTCACATTATGAAATTTTTTCAATTTATACTATTATTTTTTTTTTATTTATGTCAATAGATTGTTTAAATAAATACATTTTTTATTAGAATAGCATTTAATGTAATTTTTTTTGTTCTTATGTAAGAGGGAGAGGAATTCACGAACTTTGTTTTTGCTATACTCTAAAATTTTCATAATGTGACTACTACCGTTTTTACCCTGTGCCCTTCAAATGATTTTAGGAAAAATATAAGTATCTAAAAAAATATTATTAATATGAATTTATTAATACTTATGATATTAAAATATATGGAAATATATTTTTAAGCAATAACATTTATAGTTTATAAAACATGAATAACAACAAATTTAAAACAGTGTTCCGTCTGAATAAAAAGTACAACTAATTTTACAATGTTCTAAAAGTAGTTGACTCATATTTTGTGAGATTACTCTTTGAAAGTAATTTCAATATGTTATAATAACTTATTTCAAATTAAGTAACCCTGATGTCACTTAAAATGTAGGTAAATGTGTAACAGTAATAAGCGATTTTCCTCACATTAATTAATATCCAATACAGTAAATAATCATACAACATTACATAAAACTAGAAACCTTGGAGACATTATTTTTTAAAAAAAAAACGTTAAAATCAATTTTATATAGTATTTACTTACCTTTTTTTCTATTTTTTTATTGGTTTCTGGATCGATTTCGATTTTGGTTACTTCGGTCATAAAATAGTCGTCTAAAGAAAGTATCCTTGGGGCTTGGCCACCCATTGCTAGCTCTTTTTCCTAATAAATATAAATATATTATTGGACACTTAATTGATTTTAATGTAACTTTAATTAATGGTGTATTCGTAAGTTATATAGCAATGTTATCCACTAACCACTTTTCTACTTAGATGTGTACTCCAACAATGCTGATAGAGCACATCATTTTCATTATGTGTACACTAGGGTGGTCCTTATTTGGTTTTTTTTTTGAAATTCCACATTGGATAGCTATCAATCGGCTTCAAATGTTGAAAAAAAATGTCTCCAATTTTTTTATATTTAATTTCATTAGTCTCCCCGTTTACACATACAATGTATACTGTCACTCAGCAACAGTCAGCGCTGTATACATATATTTGACATGCAAACAGGGAGATTAACAAAAATGAAATAAAAATCTTAAAAAGTTAGAGAAATATTTGGAGCCAAATGACGGCCATTTAACGCCATGTCACATTAAAGGACCACCCTAATGTACACACATACATAGAAAATGGGAGTACACACAGCATATATTGTTACAATTATACCGCTGCTTTTAATAGTTCCAAAACTACCTTAATTAACTTGGCGACGTGGGACTTTCCGGAACCCGGTAAACCTCTAAGAATTATTACTATTTTTTCCGGTCTGTTTGCACGTCCGGGTGGACACAGAAGAGTTTCAATAGGTAACATGTGTCGATTAAAATGCCGCGCCACAGGTTCCACTTTCGGTTTTGGCATTTTTGGTGGAGACGGTGGTGAGATAATTTTAATAGGAATTTCTACAGGCTGTGGTTTTTCTTCTTTCTCTTCAATGTTTTTAATAGGCATTACGGTAACTGTCTTATCTTTTACAACATCATTTATTAAACTCTTTATTTTGTTATCGAGTGTGGTAAGATTTGTTTCACTTGACTTTATATCTAAAAATAATCAATTTTACAACCATTGTAAGAAGAAGTGTATTTAAATAACACAATGAAATTAGAAAAAGTAATATTTAAATAAAGTGAATGGTAAACATACCGTGTAACGTGTCTATAATTTTATCAGTGCTAGTATTTTCATTAATAGTACCTGAAAATAATATATATATTATGAAAACAGTCATTTTGTAGATAAATATTAATTTAAAAGAGTGAGTTACATTCTTTTTCATTTAGATCTCTAGTATTGGTATTATTTCTTCTGCTAAAACCTAGAATACAAAATTATAATTTTTTTAACATAAAATAATATTTTATAATATAATACATAATACATCAATGTCTCATTTCACCAAGCCTAGTTATGTTTTTAACCAACATATTTTTTTTATAGAATATTAATGTGTTAGCTAATAATGCTTAAATAAACATAGTGAAACTGGAAGTTAATGTATTTTTTAAAAATAAACTGACTACGAAACAAACCTCTATCTTGCCAAGGTAATAGGCGTTTTCCTCCGTGGTTATAGTCAACAATTTTTACAGGAACTATTGTTTCTTTTGATAATCCTATAAACATAAAAACCTGGTAAGTAGGTAACTAACAGATTTTTCCTTGTCAACATCTCAATCTGAAATCATAGCTGAAAGCCGAAAGATACTGGCGAAGAGAAGCCGAATCTAAAGTTAAGTCAATTTATTCCCCTGACATTTAAAAACTTTAATTGACCCAAAATTTAAAGTACAAGTTTTAAAAAATAATCATTTTGTATTACCTGGAATGACTTTTAAAGCAGACAAATGGCGATAATCAAATAGTTTTACTGGATCAATTGGAGGAATATCTTCAATCGACGGCTTCTTGACTTCTAAAGTAACAGGCGGACAATCATCAATAATTGGTAGTGGTACACTAATATCTTTTTTGAAATCATCATTCCACTTATTGTTCGATTTAGACATGTAATTATTTCCAAAACGCCCTCCTCTTGCCGATCCATAATTTCCTCTGGAGGGCGGTCCAAAATTTCCTCTATTCGGTATGATATTATTTTTATTTCTGTCAAAATCATTTATATATTCTTCATCAATATTTCTCGACTGTGTTCTTCCTCCCTTTTGATAGCCATCATCGACATTTCTTAAATTCCCTTGAGGTCTATTGTAATAATCATAATCGTCGTTTCTTGGCAATTGCCTCCCATAGGAAGGAATTTTATCGTTATTTTGATGGTTCCATTGTGACTGAGGCTTTGAATAATCTGTATCGGGATTCTTCATCATTTGCGAGTTAAACGATTGATTAAATTGTTTTACATAGTCTTCTTGATTGTTTTCCTTACTCTCGGGTCCTCTAGGATAACGATCATCATTGTATTTATTATTTCCTTGCTGATTATTTAAATATTGGTCTTCGTTATACAAATCTTCGTACGGTTCTGAACTAAACTTCTTATGGGCTTCCATGTACTCATCTTCCGGATTATCTTCTTCATCAGCAATATTCCAGTCACTTTCGAATCTTGGAATAAAATAATTAAACATCATATATATATTTTTTATAAGTTGTATCGAGTACCAAGCAAATTAACAGTTGAAGCATTTAAGAGTCAATTGCTACATTGTGCTCAAAGTTGAAGTCATAATGTATTACGCTGTATGTACACACTTCACACTTTTCTATGTATATGTTTACGCATAACAGAAATTGTGTATTATCACCACGAGTAAAATTGTTTGTTAATTTTAGCACACATTGTACACTGTGTGATTGTGTAGCATACAACGTTCTAATCTTACAAAATTGTGCACAATTATTTAAATGCTTCAATTGTTTTTTTGAGATGCACAATTAACTAGATATTTATAAGGTGCATACATGCAACACCTCTAATTAATACATAAATACATCAAACAATTTTAAGTACATACCTGTTAGGTGCCACGTCCGTTTTTCCTGGTTTTTCTAAAACAATAACATATAACAACCGTAACAGAATAATTTCAATCGAAATGTTATGTATAAAAAAAATGAGTCAAATTTATTAATCTCACCTAATAAGGGTTTGGTCACATTTAAACTCATTAATGAAGGTGGTTTCGGAAGAGCTGTATTCATCGATGCCAACGATGTTTGGTTTTTATAAGGGTATGATATGTTATTTAACCTATCCGAGGGTCGATTGAAATTGCTATTAACTGATTGATTGTAGTCTTCAAAGTTATTAGGCGGTCGATTATACGATGTATTAAATCCATCGACATTTCTATTATATGCTTGGCTATCAGGAATTGCATTAAATGGATTACCATAAATTTCAGTGGTTTTTGTAAAAGATACTTCCTGTTGTCTCCTTGCATTGGATGTGTTATAAGAGTTACTGTAATTTTCACTAGAGGATTTACTGTCTAAGATTCGGCGATAATCAACATCATCTTTTGTGTCAAACATTTGATGATTATTAATGTCCGGTGGTTTCTGATTATAAAATGGTTGAGAATTATTATAATTAGACCAATAAGGAGAATTGGGGTAATTGGAGTTCATGGTTTGGCCATTGTTGTTAAGAGGCAACTTAACAGGCTCTGAAATCATCGTTGGCAGGTTATTAGTTTTAGGGAAATTAAACGGCTTATCATCCGGTGTTTGTATAGGTCCTTTTTGGTTAGGAATAAGTTTTGACACATTTTGAATCATTTGAGATCCGTTTTCATTATTTCCAACGAGATCCAAACCGGGTATTTGATTTTCTGATGACAGCGGTAACGAAGATGACATATTTGGCTACAAAAGTATTAAAAAATACATACATATTGAAACTGTACAAATAAAATGCAGTTTTAAAAATGTGTAATTTAGTACCAGTCGATGTGAAATATTCAATGAATTATTAGAAGGAACAGAATTTAACATCATTTGATTATAGAACAATCTTTGTTTTTGATTTTCTTCAATTTGAGCTGCCTCCTTCTGTATTAAAAGAACATTACCAGAAATGTAAGAAAAAAAATGGCATTTAAACAATATCTTACTTTTTTTTCTGCTAATTTTGCTTCTCTTCTTTTTTTTAGTAAATCACATTTTTGTTTCATTCCATCACGAATACCCAACCATTTGTTTTCATATTTTTCATATTGCACCTTAACATATAAATAACAGATTTGATTAAAACAAATACAATAAATGTTATGAAATAAAACAATAGTGAATTTACTTTATCAGGATGGTTTTTATTCTGTTCTTTCCATTTAAGAAAATCTCCTTCCCACTTTATAAATTTTTCTTCAAATGTTTCGATGTCAACGTTTAATTCATTTTCTTTTTTGTTAAGGGATGTGTCCATTTTAATTTTTTTTTCACCAATTTGCAGTTCAGGTTCCATGCTACGTTTCATCTAGATGTCAAAATTAACAGACCTTACATTTTAAATACTAATATTCAATCAATACAAATACCTGCAATGGATCGCAATGTGGTTGCATAGCCGTGTTCTTTTGGTCAAAATATGGTTGTTGCAACGACATAGGTGGCTGAGGAGGTTGTAATGGCTGACTCTGTGGCATTGGAGGAGGCGGAGGTTGTCCCATAGTAGTTGACATTTGTACGTTCTAAACAACAATAATCATAATTCAGCAATATATTTATACTTGGACTATTTCAAGTTTTATAAAAAAAATTATATTCTAGCATGTAGTTAATAAAATTGTATATACCTGTTGATGCCATTGTTGTTGAAAGTGTTGGTGCCATAATTCCCAATTCCATTCAGGCCATTTAATTATCTATTTGATTTAAAAAAAAATTAAAACAGCGTCATTTACCAATTTATTTACTAATAAAATATATCTACAAGTTTTTCAATCTTAATAATTGTATTCTATATACTAATATAACTTTGAGCTTTGATATGACACCTTACTGATGAAAGTACAGTTAACCCTCATTAATATATTGACGCTTGCTACAAAAAGTAATACGTTACATTTGCTCTTCGGAAAAATAGTATGTTTGTCGTAGCCACAATAAAATCTGGTTTATCTGCGATTGTTACGTTAAAAACAATAATTATTAAGTTTCACTTTTTCCTACATAATATAGTATGCTTAGTCAATCAAAACCACTACTGAACTGAACGTAAGACTTTTCTTAGAAAAGAATGAAACGTTGTACTAGTTTTTGCTGTAATTTACGTGGAGTCCTATGTGAGCAAATTCAATGCAAACTCGGTGCGGCACAACACGGAGCGAAAATTTGAGCGATCTTGCCCTACATGCACAGCGTCTTCGGCGACCACCAACCAGTCATAATCAGCCGTTAATTTTTTGTTTACATTGAAAGTGACCTTTTGTGCACAAATCACAGGAAAATATGAAACCGTTTTGATCGCGTTCGTTTCACGCCACAACGTGCCGACTACCATTCGCATACATTCGGTCACGTAAGACTCTTCCAAGATAGACAAATATTTGATATTTTCGCATCGCGTTACACCGCACCACGTACGCATTGAGTTTGCTCACGTAAGATAAATATACTACTTTATAGAGAGGAAAAAATGAAGGTATAAATCTACTTAACCAAATACCTTTATTTTTTTGATTCGATAGTATTTTAAGATCGGGCGTTATACTAATAACAAGAGTTACTGCTGTCGCCCCAGCGATATGCCTCGCCTTTCGGGGTCCTTTTTTTATGCTCAGAACTACTTAAATTTAAACCTGTAACCTCCTCTTAGACTGTAGCCTGCAAAATTTAGGATATTTTTAGTTTAGCGGAGCGAAGCGACGGCGCCCAGCAAGCATAGCGAGTGAATGCCGTACGCACCATGAGGGGCCAATGAAGTACCCAGCGGCCGGGGGTAAACGTGTGGTGCCAGGCGCATGCGTATGACGATATCGGCAAACTTTAAAAGTCTGTAACTTCTAAACTAAGTGCGAGCAGCGCAAACAATTTACGTATTCGTAATCAGCGTAAAAAATACTATCGAATCAAAAATAAGGGTGTCCGGTAAAATAGATTTGTTCCAAAATGAAACTTACTACTTTCCGTAATGGCTGTCAATATGCGAGCCGTTACTACTTGTCACAGTATGATGGGTTATTTATAATATCAATAACATAACAATAGTTTTACTTACAGTTGGACCAATTGCATTTGGCAAAGTATTCGATTGAAACTGCTGGGTCATCTAAAAATCAAAATTTAATTTGGTTATAAAAAATATTTAAATGGTAAAGCTAGGGTGCAATGGTAAATCACTTTTTTAGCGTGTAGACAAGACTGGATTTAGAAAAAAATTAGGCGATCGATAAATTGAATACTCATGTCATGTAATACTTACAACTGCTGCTGGGTTTAATGATGGCCTAGTCAAACTATTTTGCTGGTTCATCTGGAATATTACATTTTATTAGCATATTACTTTGATGAAATAAAAAAAAAAAATCATAAATTTTCTCACCGGAAAACTTTGCATTGCATTAGACGTTGGATAGAATGGAAACGAGTGTGTATTGTTTTCATAATTGCTGGAGCTTGGATTGTTTAGAGCTAAGGGTGGTGGCAGTGGTGGTGTTGAAGTGGCCCATTGATTTGGATACATCGTTGAGCAGTGAGCTAGTATAAAAATTACAAAACTAGTACACCGATGAAATATTATGTAGTAGTTATTAGCGTAAGTTACTTTACTCACATATTATTTATTAAAACTAGCAGTACTTTAAAGATAGGTACTTGATAAGGTACCTAGGTGTTTTTAAATCAGAAAAGAATCAACTCATAAAACAATTATTTGTTGACTTCAATATTAACGATAGGCCGTCCGTAAAGGAATCCTACAATAAGTAATCTCTAATCCCATAAGTCACATCGTTTTTATAGTAAATTAAGTAATAAATAATAACATAAACCGAAAATCAACGGTGTGTAACTTTTTAATACGCCGATCAACACTATAATCTATATTATTATTATGGTGAACAGAAACTACAGTACAGTTTGTATACACACACGAATAAACCATGAAAAATAAACACAGGTGCGTTACTAAATATTGTTATCAGCTATCATTACATGGCCGCTGTTCGACTCCGATAAGAATACACGGCACCCTTACAAGAGTCTGCAGCCATTTTGCGGCGGACATATTTGCTAGCATACCTATCTTTTTTATGTCATGGAAAAGACGATCAGGCATCAGCTCGATAAAATATTTTCTACCCAAAACCTGGACCCGGGTCTAGCTCAGTTTACCATTCGTCTTATCAGTAATCAGATTGTTGATAAGACGGTTAAACTTCAAAGAGATTTTAATATGTTTTCTAGGTATTAATAATTATTTATTTTTATTTTTACCTAAAGAGTAAAATCTGTGATTGAAATCGTAATTCTAATTAAGAATTTTTGTTTTCTGTTGTAAAAGTGACAAAAAAACATTAATAAGGAAATTTTTTTTTTTTAACCGTGTATTATTTTTGCACTGTCTAAAAGTTAGCTAGATAGTAGATATTTTACTGTTTACTTATACATTTGTGGTTTTAGCGTAACAAATCAATATTTTAGGTGCAATATATAGTTAGAGTGCCTAGTACGCTACATCGCCCATTTCTAAGGAGTAAACTATAGGCAATTTTTTCAAAATCTTAATTTAAAGATTAAATTGTGATGTGTAATTACTAGATCAGAAATTAGGACTCATTTTTTTGTTAGTTAATTTATTTTTCGGACTATCGCAGCATCCTTGACAGTGATTTAAAATAAAATCATCTAAACATTACTAACTACTAGAATGCGTTTTACTCGGTCCATAGTGATTTTAGAGCAAAAGCACCTATTATAAAATTTAAAGTCTGCAAAGAAAACAATATTTCGGAAACAATGTCATTCCGATTTTAAACATAATAACGTAAAAAAAATGTATAATTATTTTTCAAAAAAAGTGGCTTTAAATTTAATTAGGTTTATCAAAAATAGAATATTATGACATTGTCTTATAAAACATTGTCATGTTTTACATTTGTTATGGGTATTTTTGCTCTATAATCATCACGAAGCGAGTAAAACGATAGAAAATTGAGTGTAAAATTCAAATTTTTATAATTCTTTCTATATACTTATATATTTTTTTAAATGTTGTTTTCAAAAAACTTGTTTTTTCACACTCGCACAACATTTCTATTTAGACATCGGTTTATCAGTTTTCTGAATAACATTTTGAATACATTTTAAAAATATAAACGTAAAGTAAATTCTACATTTCTCGTACGGTCGAGCATAAATTTTAGAAATCATACAAATGCAGTAAGGCATTGTACTTGGATACGCTTTACGCTACATTTAACGTTCTGAATGGCTCGGATTTTTTTTCCCAAAAAATAAATACTGTTTCATAAAATTTATATTTATTTCACAACGTTACTGTACAGGAATGAGTACATTATTTACATACGGACCATTAAAACTACTAAGTAATGGTTTGTGATATCTGAAATGGTACGAAATATAACTCCCAGTATGATGCACGTCTTGCTGTTCCTTGTGGCTGAAATCAACGGTAAAGTTGCAAATTTAACACTTCCTTTTTGAATTCAGATAACATTCGAACTAGACATCAACTTAACCAGTTGATGTCGAGTATCTTAGACCCTTTTGCCGTGTAATCTTCGAATTATTATAAATAATAACAAGCCCATAGTTACCAAGTAGTGCATTGGTTGTCACGTCACAAAAAAAAATACCACCAACATTTTCGACATAACCCCAATAGGACATTTTCTTGACGTGAGAAACATTATGATGGGACACGGGTAGGTATACGTTATTCTACAGGCAATAACAACACTTTATCATAATATTATTATGTTTTACTATACTACAGCTGTTTTCATGGTTCATAAAAGTTGAAACTATGACGATGACTATAATATTCATAAAATAAAAAAATAAAAATTCGTTTTTAACTCAATATCAATGTGAATTCATATATTTTATGTGTGTAACTGATTGAAATAATACCATACTTAATCGTTTTACGTCGGCGTGTGTAGAATCACCATCGAAATATAATGGAAGATTCAAAGAACAAAATATTGATGGACTCTATGCGTTGTTTGAAATATAAAATAGATGAGTTATTAGAAAAAAGCGAATCAAGTAAGAAATAATAAATCAGCAATTACAGATTCAGTTAAAAACTAAAGAGGATAAGTATAGTGGTTCCAAATACTGTAAATTAATAGATTTAGTGGTGACAATTCCTACCAGGAGACATTAAACACATAGAGAAATGAGAATATCCCCCCCCCCTCGCTAGACTCTCTCAAATTACCAAAGATAGTTTTTTGACCTAAAAATTAACCTTTATGTGGTCTTTTAATGATTACTTCTGTATAATTTTTAACCGCTTTCAATTGTTTACATTTAATTTGTATTTACCGCTAGAGCGCACTGCAAAATACATAATATTATTTATAATTAACGGTTTATTATCTATACAGAATATTTCTTTTTTATAATACAATGTTACAATAGCAATTGACATTAGATACTGTAAGGTATTAATACATTTAAAGAGTAATGGCGGGTTGTAAAAAAGTTCATTAAAGGTTTAACAGGTTTAATGAATCAATATATTTTGTTGAGTGGTTCCCTTAACATAGTAGAATAACTCGTGATTGGTCCATTAAATTTACCTATTAATTTTTTTATGCAACCCGGCAATAATATTTTAATTTATAATAGTTTGACATAAAATATTTATTTTATTTTAGGTAGTGATTCTGAAATATTATTTTTAATAAATTCACTGCAAAAACTTCTCAGGGAACATTCAAGTCTTTCAATTAGTGCAATTCACCATTCGGATCTAAACACTACCAGTGACGAATTACCGATGAAAGTAAACAGATTTGTCAATATTTAAACTTTTTTTAATATAATACATTTAAAAAAAATGTATTTGAATCTATATGTCTTCTTGTTTGGACGTAAAACAAAGCTATTGTTTAAGTATTTGTTTTTACTCATTTAAACTGATTTACAGCATAATAATTTGTCATTAATATAGCCACAGCACTATTGCGGGGCTAATGTCTATGATATTATTTGCGAAACAAATAATGAATACAGATAATGCAATCTTAAAGGTTTCATTGTACATGCATAATTTTAAAGTTGCGAAAATTGAATTCGTAAACACACTTTTATAAAGATAAGGGTGACTATGTGACATGAATGGGGAAACTGTCCAGTAAACATCGTCTCATGAATATTATAATGGCACACGTTTTTTTTCAACTCTGGTCCGCGTTTTTGTCTTTAACCTTAGAGATCAGCAGCTTCTTTGTTTTGTTTCGTCAATAGGTAGGTAATAATTAATTAGTTTACCGCAGATGCAGAAACTTTTTGGATTGATTGAATGTCTTTGCAAGGAAATTGATACCATAATGAACAACTTAAAACAAACATTGAGCGCCGTATACAAAATGTTTCAGGATATTATCAAAGAAAAAAACGACAAGTGCCTATATATAGAAATATAAAATTGACTGTGTAAAAAAAATAATCATGGTTTATAATTGTTTATATATTTTAAGTAAGCAGCTGCAAGATGCAGATGACTCTGATGTCGATAATAAGTACAAAAAGCAATTGGAATGTTACGAGACTTACATCAGTGAATTGGAATGTCGTCTAAAACAATCAATGTGGCACTTAAGCCAAACGCAAATGTCGGACAAGGATCCCTCTACGGTACATAAACCTTGGTATTTTTACGAAAATTGGGTACTAAGAGAGATAACTGTGTTATTATTATTTGTCTAGGAAGAATTTAAACTCAAAGAAAAAATTTTAAAACTAAAGAAAAAGGAGAACGATTACGTAAATAAAATACGAACTATGACGGACGAGCTAAACGATTTAAAAGAAAAATGTCACAACTGCTTGGGAAGACAGAAATGCTTGAATGAAGTAATTTCGGAGATTGCGTTAGTAATAATATATTCATTCAAATCATTCCCGCTAACCCTTTACTGTCATTACTGTACAAACAGAATGTAAACTCGGAATAAATTATACAAAAATGGCTTTTGCACTGTACAACTCTATATTGTTTGAACTCGGTAAAAATGGTGTTGTTTTGTTTGACAATTGGTTTAAAACAAATTGTCGAGTAAATACGTTTTCTAAAAATCACTAAAGCTTATAATTTGAATAAATCATCATCCGTTTAGATTGTACATCGGCCATCTTATATAATTATCTGTTAATTCAGTACTTTTATATCTTATGTGTATTTTCAATGTACATCTAAAACAAATGTTATTGACTCAAAGTTTTGCGGTAAGCTGGTAAAAGTTAATTCTATGTTTTCATTCGAAAAATATAATCGAATTGCCAGAAAGTTAAATAGGTATTCCAACTTTTGTAGTTTTACCACATAGATTTATGTACTATTAGTGAAACTGTTTTTGTGCTATTGACAAATGTGCGCTTGTTTTGTGAACCGATTTTATAATTCGAATAACTCGCCTATACTGTTGTGTAGGCAACCTAAAGACAAAGAAGAAAAAAGTTTGCTAAGTTCGGTCGAAGTCGAAAAGTATTCAGATCAAGTGGGCCCAGAAATGTCATCCGATCGAGAATTTGTTGGAGTTGAAAACCAATTTAATCGCAAACCATTCGATCACAGTAGCACACAAGACGATTGTTTTATAAACAAACCAGATAAATCATTCTCTCGGCCGAAAGCTTACAGTTCGCCCGTACAGCGAGGTTTCAGAAAAAAATCGGCGGTGGACGAAAGATCTGAGGTATACCTACTACATGGGTGTTTTTATAATTTAAAAAGTACTTACTAATAATATACAGAAACTTTGCATTTAAAAAAAAAAGATTTCTACAATATACGACACGGGTAACGGCGGGAATCATCGCGGATGCAGTGGGTATTCGAACATTACTAGTAAAACATTCAACGTGCAGAGAAAACCGGCAATGTCTGCGAGTAAGCAATGTAAAATGTGCAAGACCAATCAAAACGATACGAGCAAAATGTCTTGGAAATCCAATTCCAATTACAGTAGAGACTAGATCAGATGTACCGAATACTTTTTGTTTATTAGTACCATAATCGTCAAGTATTTTTAACTACCAAGGCGAGTTCTAGCTTATCTGCCGCTCGAATATGTAAAAAATAATATTAATTTTATCTTCTACATTACATACACGCTGAGGCTTAGCACTGCGGTCTATTAATTATTATTATTATTTTTTTTTTTGTTAACACGAGTTGTTAATTTTTTCTTTTATGTTTATCATAACCGATATTATAATGATTTTTAACGGCACAGTGATGTCGCCACTTAGTTAAAAGTATGTTATCCTTTCACTTGATTGTTCCATCTCAGCCGTAGTCGTCCCAAAAGTCTCTTTCTTCTTGGAACACTACATTTTATACCAAACATACTAAGGCTTCTTCTTATCTCCATGCATGAGGCATGGCTCATGAGTCATGACCAATCCACTGGAGTCGACTTTAATGTAAATAAACGTGCCAAATCTGAGGTCAGATTTCAATTCAACGGGGGAAAAAACATAAATACGTAGTTTAGTTTGGTTAAAAGTTCTATAAGTTAATTTTATTCTATTTCCATATAATGCAACACGTTTCCACTTGTTCCTTTGTGAAGTACAAAAATATAATACTAAACTTTAAACATATTACTATTATATTAACAAACAAAATATGGTAACTTCTAGTCAAGATGTCCATGTGGCTTTTTGCCATTATTATTAATCCTACTTAGCAAAAATGGCATTAATCATTTTTTATAATATCATGAAAATGTTAATCAAATATCAATAATAGAAAAATATACTAACTTCATTTTTACCATAAGTACTAATTATAAATATTAATACTTCAATTTGGGGTTTTATCCCTATAGTTATAATATTTATTATATAGGACCCTAAATATTAAAACAGTTGTTCTAAATAATATTAGATTATAAACGTCGCGTCATACCATATAATATTTCAGATTTTGGCGTATTATCCAAACGATTATTAGATTTTGTAATTTATTAAGTTAAATCCCTGTTTAAACAAAATTGTTTACCGCCTAATAGAAATGTATATGGACATATCTAATCCAATTAGCAATTGGTTACTTTAGTTACTTTAAGTATCCTTTTCACTTATCTACAGCAAACACAAATACACAGTAATTGATATCGTTTTACATGATAATGTATATTTATATATAACATATATGCATATATATTTTTACAAATTTTCATTTCAACTTTACAAAATGTTTATATTATGTACATCACAATGTATAACCTTAAATTAGATAACCGGACTAATTTAACAAAATAGGAATTTATACATGCTATATTAATATAGATTTGATAGGAAAAAAAATGTATATTATTTGGCAACTTATAATACGTTTGCAAATTGAATTTCATAGTTTGAAGTGAACAAAAACGCCCGAATTTATATTTTTGATTAAATACGAAATGTTTTCATTACTTTTAGTAAACGAGTAAAATCAATTAGTCAAAAACGTTTATCATAAATAATGGAATAATAATAACAAGTTTTTAAATTTGCTTATATTCATATTTTGTTGATTTATGTCTCGCATATCAGTCGATAGAATTTCTTATGCACATATAAATAAAGAATACATTTATTAATATACATGTATAACTCACACAGAAAAAAATACATAGGTAGTCCAACTAAAATTACGGTTCATACAAACACACAGTACATTTCTAGTTGAAATAACTACATGAATAGTCGGCCGAACTAGATGCATAGTTGCTGTAACTAAACGTGTAGTTGGCCCAGCTGTTTATTTAGTTATTCCAACTAGAAATGTATTGTGTCCCTTTATTAACCATAATTTTAGTTGGATAGTTAATGCATTTTTTTCTGAGATATTAGGCTCAAAACTGCAAAAACTAAAAAATGTGCATATATCTTTAGTATTGCATAGAATGCTAGGTCTTTTTTAAATTATTATTCTCAAATAAATTACAAATATTTCAACAGAAATCCAAACAAATATAGAGTAAGGTTAGTTTTTTTCTCACGGACAACGAATAACATTACTATGAACATACAGTTTTGAGTTTTTTTAATTTTGAACTGAGACATTGATCAACAAATAAGAAAAATTTAAGTAAACAAAAATGAATGAATCATAACAATAATAACAATAATAGTATTTTTCATTGCTTATCAATTATAATATTTACATTTATAACAAGAATCAATATAGTAGTATTTTTTAATTAGTGCTCAAAACAACAGTAATTACACAAAAAAAAAAACATATAATATAATATATAGTCTGATAATATAGATTTTTTTTCATAACGTAACAGGTAATATAATAATTAATACCACATATTAGTACACAACTATTATGTAAAGGAACTTGCCAATTAGATAAAACATAGTACACAAATAAATAAATCAGGTATAAACGCTTCTACTTCAATTATTTTAAACTTATACATTAAAATAAGTTATTTGTAACAAGTACATTTTGATATGATTAATCGACTATCAACAATAGTTATAAGCTGTTAAAAACGTGCGCACAATTAATTAAAGAAACAATGTTTTATTATATTTATTTTATGATTCCCTGGATCTGAACAGGTATAGGGATTAATAATATTTTTTACACAAATCACATACAAAATGTATTTTAGGAAGTGGCTATTTCATTGTACAAGGGTAAAATAAAATTAGTACCTATTAATTAATTTTTAGAAGTACAAATAAATAAATAAACGTTCACGAAAACATAAATGTCAAAACAATGCAAAGATTTATAATATTATAATAAATTGATTTTAAAGTTATTTGGTGTTGGATAGCATTTTTGGAAATTTGATTCAGTTAATTGACTATCCAAGACGGAATGTTATTGTTTGAATCGTTTAATTTGAAACTGTTTATTAAATTAAAGATTTATAAAATAACTAATAATAACATAACAAATAATATTGTAACTTGTAAGAAAATGTTTTTGTTTAATCATTGAGCAATATATTTTCTTTAGCAAAGTTAATAAAATATTTAAAAACAAAATTAGTAGGCATCGTCTAAATAAATAAAATGTGAAAAAAAATAACTGTGTTGACTCTTAAGTGCGCATTAAGCGGCATTGCGTACTGTATTTTCTTACATTTTTGCCCATAAGGGTTAAAACGTACTTACAACAAGCAACTTAAAAATCTCTTCTTTATAAAATTGCCTTAAAAATAATAACACCAAGATAAATAAAGCATTTAGTATAATAAACATAATATTCGTCTTTACGTATGATATAGTGAAACACTTAAAACTAATATAATGTACATACAAATTCTGTGATTATGAACGTATGTCAAAGTAGATATTATAAGTTTACAAATCAAATAAATATTTATGAATAATTTTTTGTTGAAAAATTACACTTTTTAAACATTTTAATTGAACACGAAAAAACAAACGTAAAAATGAATTACTGGAAAGTTCCAAACATTTATTAACTTTCAATGATTCACACGTGTTGTTCATAGGTCAATATTTATCACGGACCCCGAATTTTAGAAAGGCCATTTATTTCTGTTTAAGTTATTGAAGTTGCCCAGAGGACTTATACTATAATTTGAACCTCAAGTTCATTAAGTCGCCAGACCCGGGTTGTACCGAACTTCCAATACAGTTTATTTTCATCGTTTAGCTTATTAACAGTAATTAACAGAACACAAATTATTAACCATTTAATAGGTTTATATATAATAATAAGTTCTTATTTTAAGCGGATTAATATTTAATACATACTAATAAATTAACAAATAATTAAAATACTCGAATTTGATTTTATCACTTTGATGTTATATAATAATACTATTTTAGTTATGAGTACCACCCCGTGTTTAATTTTAGTGGAATATTTAATGAAATAAATAAACATTATGTTCACCCATTAAAACAAACAAAAAAAAGGTAGCTGAGTGCAATTTATGTACGTAGAAAATGAATTTGTTTTAACATCTGACACTCAATTGTATGTACTTATAATTTAATAGATAAAATCGCATCAAAAGGAAATGATATATGTTAGTGCATTTTGTATTAGTGTAATAGCTAAAAAAAATGTCAATATTTCTTGGAGGAGTAAAGCACGTTCTTTGCTACACTAATGCTCTGATGGAAGGTATGATGTTTGGTTATTATTATCATTATGCGTTTTGGTCGGGGCTGAAAATATGCAATGTTCTTTTCGTGAGGTTTTAATTACCATTGCACTGTACAAATCATATTGAATACAAATGATTCACTCAGTGTTTGGAAACATTTGTCATACTTTTGCCCAGACCGTCGGCCACGGGTCATGTGCCGATTCTCATGAGCTTTTTGAACGCTTTCCGGAATTCCGGGTTAAATATGGTGTATATGACCGGGTTCACAAAGCTGTTCATGTAGCCCAGCCACGTTGTCAGGATGAATGCCCGTACACCTGGGGAACAGTTCTTTTCCAATTTATTGCATATCGCGTCCAGAATGTTGCACGTGAAAAACGGTACCCAGCAGAACAAAAACACACCTGAAACAACAAAAACAAAACTTTACAAACTATTTCGAAAGAGGACGGGCGGGCGTTCGTTACCGGTGTAGTACCTAAGAGTTTCGCCCAAGTATATTACAACCAGAGGCAGTGTTAAAACTTACAGTGGTCTGAAACTCGCCGTGGACACTTATTAATAAAACGGCTATGGTTATCGCCGGGATGGGCCAAATGAAAATTAAATACATCAAAATAATTAAACGTACCGTGGGCAAACCCGCCTAACCGTAGGAGTGTAAAAAACACATTAGGTACCACAATGACAAATAACTTGATTTAGGAACAAGAACATCTATTTTTTGTCGTCGAATCCGAATTCGGCCAAATAATTAGCACGTCGAGTTAGAATTGCCTCCAAAGTTGTAAAAAACACCGTGTGTTGGTATTCGCGTTCATTAAGTTTGAAAACTCTCTACTGAGAAAATTATTCAAATGTACAGAACACGTCGGAAATACAACAGAACGGTGTTTTATACAAATTTGGATGTGATTTAAAAAATAACTAATTAATTATGCTAGAAAAATTCTGAGGCGAGAATTGGATTCAACGAAGAAAATGAAATAAACAGATTTTAGTTTTTGTTCCAAAACTGTTTTGTACTGCATTATTCATATCATTATTATGTGATTTTGAATATAACAATATGGATTTTTACTTGAACCTAGAAATTATATAAATCTTAAGAGGACGCTACCCACCCGTAATTTATCCGCAAAAAATGGCTTTGCGGGGGACAAGAATGTGAAGGCGGTATTTACAGTAGCCGTATACAATTTTTACAATGGATAGAGAAGAACTTTATTTACGGGGTAGCGATTTTAGTTTTTTGATAACTTAATCACAATTAAAATTATTTCTTCGTGAAGATTCTATTTTTTTTTCAATTTTCATTTGCTTATAAAAAAATATTAAGTATAGATATCAAACAAATAAAATCGCTACCCCGTAGATAAAGTTCTTCTCTATACATTGTGAAAATTTGGTAAATCTACTGTTAATACTGCCCTCACATTCTTGTCCCGCGCAAAGCAGTTTTGATGGGGAAAAAATTGTAATTTATCCTATAGAAGTGACTGTGATAGTCTGACGAAAAAAATGGCAATCAATAAAGTATCCTCATTACTGTATTAATAAGTATATAATATAGTTCAAACTCTAATTTAAGATTTTTCGAAAAATTGCCTATACTTAGAAATGGCCTGGGTAGCGTCCTCTTAAGGCATACTACTAAACTGGAAAATATCTCAAATTAATAGAACTAGCAATTGTGTTTGAATAAATAATCTCATAAACTCAGTGTCTGATTATTATATATTTTCCAATTTTCCGGGCACCTTTACCAATTTTTCTTATCTAACCTATCCTATGTCTCAAGTTGGACCAAATTACACACAGTGTAAAAAATTTCATCAAGATTAGTTAAGTAGTTTCGGAGTTCATCGCTGACAAACATCGTGACTCGAGATTTTTATATATATAATAATAAAGATATATAAACATATGTTTTTTTAGTTTAATAATCTTTTTTAGACCATCACTATTTCTTTCAAGATGAAGACTTCTCAACCGATAAATACTCTAGGACGGATCGTTAGTCCGTCATCGGAATTGTTATTGTAAGTCTATTTATTTGGTTTGTAAAATAAACGTATTTTCTTTTGGTGGTTTATAAAAACAGGTTAATTGCGTTTTATAACTATATATTTATTTATGTAATACTAAATAGTAATGACATATTTTGAATATTTTTGTATCCACTAGTATACAAAACTTATTTATTTCATAAATGCGCGGACGATTACGCCGTGGTAAGTACATTTTTCAAGAAAAAACTAGAACGTAATATCTTAGCGTTTAGGTAGGTACTCAAGTTAAAGTAAGTATCAATTAATATAAAAAATACATAGAATTTTTTTTTCTGAAAAAAAAGAACAATATATATAATGGCAATTTAATGACCATATTATGGTTCAATGGTTGTAGTATTAAGTGGAAGTTCAGTATAAAAATATATAATGAGTATTGGATGAGCTAAAAGATACACGTGCACTGCAAAGATACTTAACAACCAACAAAAATGAAGAAAGTATAAGTTAAAAAAAAAAACAATGACAATACCAAACAGTACTAATGGAAAAGATAATCTACTTATCGGTGATATTTTATTATAGATGGGTTATTATATATTAAATATTCTTAATATTACTAACTCAATGGTTTATAAAAAAGTAGAGAAAACCTTCGAAAGAACAACAACAGTTATATGGTTAAATGTGGCTGAAAAATATTCGACGACTATGGAATAAATTCTTATAAGACAAATATTTTTAGAAAATTTGGTTGTTTTACAGTCCGAAGGGTTTGGAAATAATGTTTAAAGCAGAAAATCTAGTTTAAACAGTCGTTAATTGTTTTATAAAGTGTAACTATTTACAAAACAAAATTAAGGATTGGACAAATTCGTTACAGAATAAAACGTGAATTTTTAGAGTAATTAAAAACTAAAATGTACAGTGTGAAGTTTGTTGCTTCTCCGAATTAGGAGAACGGCGAAAAATTAGACTTCCGTCGAGTTAATCACGAATGAAAAGCCCAAACAATTTAATTGTGTTTTCGATGCATATTGTAGAATGTATTGTACGTCGTCCGCATTGCACAACGGCACATTATTATACAGAAATATTTTGCCGAGCTCACATAGTTAAATTATTCGATTCGGAATACCATAAATCAAAAACTTTTCAATATGTCAAAACGGTATGCCTTTGATAGTTTCATTGTAACGTCAATAGTTTTGGATAAAATCAAAAGTCCACATCGAATAATAAAAGAAAAGTTTTTAAGTTTTGTGCTCGGCGAATTCGCCAATTAGTCGTTGAATACATTTAACAATATAAATTATTAATAGCGAACACACGAACATTGACGTGTGCTGTTAATAATAACTCGAAACATAATACGCGAACGATGGAAGTTTGAAAGACAAACAAAACGCCTTTCACGATTTTTGACAATGCCGTCACTGGGAGTTGTAATCCTGAGCCGATCAAATTCAATACTAGTTGCAACCTACGGGTGCTGTATTAGTACAACATGCTGCATAGGCGTCGCCCGGCGAGCGTTTTGAGATTCGATACTATTTTCTTTGACACTATATTTTCTTTATGTAAAGCGAGACCTCGAGTAAATAACTATCAAAATAAATAACGAGAGATAAGAAAAACGCATATTATAAAGAAGACCTCAATTTGGCGAATCCAATTGAATGCAAATAGCGCGTTGGAATAGGGGTTGGCAAAGGTATTTAATAAAACCAACGCGATGCGGCAGTGCCTGTGCCGTCTTGGGAACCGCCGTTAGGTCAAAAACATTCGTTAGGAAAACGACGATTGATTGAACGGCGGTGGACGATGTCGTATATCGTCTTGGAAGGGCTCGGGCGGGGCGCAGAGAAGACCGGGGGGGGGGCGGGAGGGGCACGTGGGGTCTTTTGAGTGATTTCAAAAAGGTTTCCTCGCGAAATGCCTTTTGTCAATATAAATGGACGGCGGGGCGGCAGGTAGGACCTTCTCTTTTTCCATCTCGCTTTTTCTTTTATTTCTCCGCGCGTCGTATACCTACCTACCCGGCAAAAGTATTATCTTTTGTAGTGTTAACGCGTGCGTTCGACGATGTGACCGCACGCCACGACGAGGAGGTTTTGACTTTAACCGAACTGACACGGTGTGACAGCTATAGTGCAGAATCGCTGTGTAGTAAGTAGCATATAGCTTGGACGGTAATGGCGCGAATTGACTGGTCTCGCTCTCGGGCCGTTCTCAGATAATAAGAGAGCTGGGCGATGACAGACCTTTTGTCCATCTTCCGACCGCGCACGTTCCCTTCGACCGGCGTGTTACTAGTTTTCTAGACTACCGGCGTCTGTCCTATTCGTCTCCGCCAGTACTGTATTATGAACGTCACCACTTTAAGGACCCCGTCGGTAAATTTCACCTCGGCACACAAAAGACAAGGGAAAATACACGACGACGACGACGAGTTTATAGTAATGCGCTTTAATCTTTTCATAGTAATTTTACTCACCAAACAAACATCAAGTACCCTCTAACATACAAACGCACTTAAGAATTTCAATACACACCCAAACGCCACACGTATAGAGTAATTTTATAATGAAAACATTTAAAGCCTTCAGGACAATACGGAATATTTAATGTCTGTGTATATATATATACCATATACTATCTAGCTTATTATATATGCATATTATATTTGTGTTTGTATAATATAACCTCAGTCTTCTCGGAAATATAAACTTAATAATTACCATTTTTAAATAATGTGTTTAAAAGCCACAATTTGGGAAGTCATCGACGAGTGAAGTAATAATATATATTAGGGTGGTTCAAAACAAGCCTTACTTACCCCACCCATATTTTTTATGATATAAAACTCCTTCACGTGCCCCATCGGGGTTGAAGTTTAGCCAAAATGTCAATTAAAAAAAAAAAAATGAAAAGAAATTAAATTGCAGTTATGCGTTTTGGGCAAGAAGAAAGTTTTTATTAGAATTATTACTTTCAAAAGCGGATTTTCCAAACAGTTATGAACGACTGAATAATTAGAGCGAGGGTTGGTTGTTGTGTTTTGATAAAATTGTTAACACCAACCAATTGAATATTTATGCGTTCCAAAGACGAGTGTTCAAAGTTTAAGCAAAGAGAAGAAGAAAAGTCGATTACATTTAAATGAGTTTCTTTGTATTTAGCAGACATTTCTATTTTCCCTTCGTGTAATTTTGTCGGAGCAAATTACAAAGGCGCCCAATAAATATTTAAAAAAATTAATTATTCTTTGATTTAAATAAGATTAAAGGAGGAAAAAAAAGAAGGAAAACTCTTTGATGTACCTCAGTTGCCTAACTAAAGCGCCCGAACTCGATAAAACGAGTACGGTCTTTTTTATAATAATAATCATGACTTTTATATATATATATATATACATACATGTATAATACAAACAATTTTGGAGCTCGCTTGTGCACTGCGGGAAACATAAAACATCATGAGCTAGCACAAAGCTTTAAACGAAGTACTGTTTTCATGCTGCTCAAGGTAGAACAAACAGTTCATATTGACTTTTCTTGTTCTTTGGAGACGACGATGGAGGCGATGGGGGGATGTAAACAGAGTATTGCGCCGAAACACTATATACACCGCAGCAGTTGATGATATAATATAGTTTTAATTTTAAAAGAGACATTTTCTCATTAACGCGAGGAGGCAAATAATTATTGACAAAACACTCCACGCTAAAATATACTTAAAAGTGTTTTCAAATACCAAAGGGGGATACGGGCGAGCTGTTGAATGAACTTTACGAAAACAAAAAAGCATATATACAATATTATGTTAGCCGTACACAAATATATATACATTGCTTTTCATTCGGCCTACAAATGGTGTTTTAGGGTCTTATCGTTATTCGCGTCACACAATTTTGTCCTCGCGAGGTACCGTTTAGTATAACAATAATAATAATATATAAGAGGTAAAAAAAATAAAAAATAAAACATTTAAATTCTTGCTTTTCATTTAATTCGGTTTTATAGTATGCATGTGTTGCAGTAAGTGCTGCGTAGTATAATACAATTTAAAAACAATGTTTTTTGAAACTAAAAATAATAATAAAACGCGCTGTAAAGATAAATTAAATTTTAATCATTTGTTTAAATATAATACATATTGTATTTTGTACATGTTCGTGTGTTATAATTGTCCCAACGTAAAAATAACTGTTAAAAATAATACTGTTTTATAGTTTGGAATAATGTTTTTTTTTTTTTTTTAATAATATTATATCTTTAAAAAAAGTTCTCAGTATTTAAAGTGTGGTGGTCAATTGAACATTTCTTAGTTGAACATCTCGAATCTGGACATTTTTGATGAGAATGGTATTCTACGAAATTAGATTAATGAGTTTTGTTTAAAAAATATATACCCATTAAGACTTGACATTAAAGTAAAACAGCCACAAAATGAACTTGGGCTTTTAGTGTAAAAATAATGTTTTTGTTGGGCTTTCTAGTTTTTATAACATTTTTTTAGTTGATAAATTATTTCAATGTAAAAAAACTGAAATTTTTAATTTTATTAAACTGAAATAATAAAATAACAAAACATTTTTTAAAATTATGCCACGATCAACGATCTTTGAAAATGTTACGACAAATCCAACATTTTTTTTTCAAAACTTAAATCGGAGTATTCTTAGGACCAGTACTACGTATGAAGTAGAATTAGTAGTTTTCGACCAAAAATTCGCAGGTGTCGAACCTCTTAATGTGATTATTTGAAATGTTTATAAGAAGTAATGAACCGAATTAAATGTTTGATTTAGTAATCGTTTAATTGTATGATGAGATAAATGAGGATAAACCTTATCTATCTTAAATGTTAAGTATAAATAAACGTATCGTACCATTTTAAAATATCCTTCGATGTAGTATAGTCCTCTTTCACGTTTCATAATGCTTCATCTACTTTATTGTCTTTGACATTGATACAACCGACTTACTTCCCCTGCTATCCACCTGCGGTACATTTCAGCGACTCTCCGTTTTGCTTTCACCACGATTACAAAGTTAGGTGTACATCCTTTGCGGATGTCCCATGTTCTCTTTGTCACGCTCAAAACGTGTTCACATTTATCATGTTATGGCATTATCTCGGCCGATTCAACAAAGATGTCTATTGTTTTTTGCTCATTCAATCCAATTTATCAATAATATTATTCTATGCGTTTTTTAACATTTCAATTAAAAATTACAAGTCAAATCGAAATATATAACAATTCATTAAATAGTCTATTTTGTCTATTTTACGTACAAACAAATTAGTTTATATTCGGTTTTCAAAAAACGAAGCAAAAGTAGTTAAATGTAATTTAAATCTATTCAACACATTATTCAAGTTTCACCAAAACTGTTGCTATAATATAAAATATTATATTATTACATTTAATATGTAATCATAACTTCAATCAAATAAAACTCGTGTCTATTGTAGAAGTCAAACCGAATATAACTTAACCCGTCGTAGTTATGATCAAGAAGTTTAAACAAAGACTGATTTTGTTAATTTGTTTTTTTTTTTTACTTTTAGTTTGATTTTAATAAATAAAAAAAAATGTTTATCTGAAACTTATAATGAAAACGATTCGGTTAGGTACTGTCGAAATGATTAAATTTAATAGAATCCGTTTATCGCATCTCAGTTTAATTATTTCCGAAACTTCAATACGGCAAAACTTGGCGATCGAATCTTAAGATGGAAAAACTTAGAGAAAAAGTTGTTAATAACGAACCGCTATTGTTAAAAAAATATTATTTTGCGATATCGACTAATTTAACAGTTTAAAGAAATATATATGGGAGGGTTTTTAACACAAAGTGAAAAATGTAATAATTGGGTGTTACGGTAAATTAAATACACAAGGAAAATTAATTAATTTTTCCGTTTTAAGCCAGTAAATAATAATAATGTACCTGCATAATAAAAGGGTGTACAAAATCAAGTCTTTGTTGTTGTTTGGAGTTGTTTGACTTTCGTCGATGCGGCAATAGAAAGCAAAAAATGATTACGTTGAAAAATCATAATTTGTTGTTGACAATTCAAAATAAACATAAAATAACTACAAAAAAAATAAAGTTTTTTTGTTTTTATTCTGAACTTTGCGCAGAGTCGACCGAATTATATTAGATCAAAAAACACAACCTAACGGCATTTACTTGCATTTGTAAAAACTATACTTAAAAAATGTGGAGAAAAGCAAACCAAAGGCCTTTGGGTATTGAAAATAAAAACAAAATGATTCGGAATACGCCATTAGGAGTAGCTCTGAGAACAAACGACACAATAATATGTAATGGGACTAAAGAAAACCCCCGTATAAATTTTGAATATTATTTACATGTAATTATTCTACATAGTAAAGCAAGTCCCACATCATTCTTAATATCATCTCCACAGCAAATCAATATTTTAGATTTAGGTTTCAAATCACTTTCAAATAAACGCTTTGAGGACAATCTGTAATGGTAAAAATATAAATACTGATAAAAGCATTGCACCTAATGGCAATGATGTGCTTAAAAATGTATTTTTGGTATCAGGGTGAACACCAATAGGGATGATCGTCTGTCTACAAAAATATTATTGCTTTAGTTATTCATATATCGTAATTATCAATATAATGAAAATATTTTCAAATACCTGTTGATTAGTGTAATATTTCCTTTTGTTCCTTAATAAATATAATGGTTGACAACAGATTTTTGAGAAAATTGTATATATTATAAAGCCCCATTCTAGACCCATCTTCGGGTAAACTTTCAGACTTCAACCCCTTAAACTTCACCTAACAAAACGTATACCTATATTTTGGATATTATACATAGAACGATTATTTATACAAATACATTAGCCAGTAAAAATTGAATTAACGTTTGATAGTCAGGGTAATTTTTTTGTCTATGACACATTCTATGTCATTTATACAATGGAGTAATAAAAAACAATTTTTTCACACGGCCCTTCCCCTTAAACCATTGTTCTATACAAATTCAAAGCTAAAAAATGTTCGAATTTTTTTGTAAGTTCTGTTATGGTAACCTATTACCTAACACAAAACAGTGAAATTTCAAAATTACAAACGACATTAGCCCAACTCTGTCGTTGGACAGTTGTGAACACAACAATATTGATTCGCTGTGTGTAGAAATTAGAGTGTTACGGCACCCGTGTGACACACTGTACAACCGAACCACGGTGAACAGAACACAATTGCATTATGTGCCCTCAGGGATTGATCATGTGCGCTTATACCGTGCGTTATACATGTGTGTGTGTGTGTGTATTTTTTTTAGCGCGTTGTTGTTATCGATGGAAAAGAAGGCATTTTTTTTTTGTCATTGTTTTGTGTTTTCCACATTTTCCGTTCGTCATTCGCCATTACCGGTCCATAAAGAATAAGCCTCTTTCCGTCGGGCGAGAGGAGCGCCGGCGACTACGGCGAAGGGAAATAATGTGTACACAGGCGTTGAGATAAAACTGAAGGCGCGCCTTCAGCAGACATCATTTTCGAGAGCATAAACAGCGATATTTCATTGCTGCTGTTGTACCTCGCGTGCCCATTGTCTATCGAGCCGGGGTTGGTGTTGTAGGGGTAAGGGCAGTGGCAGGGGTGCGGCATATGCGGTGTATGTATGTACTAAAAACTAACGACTACTCACCCAGTACTATTGCCAGGGTTTTGGTGGCTTTCCTTTCCTTTCGCGCCGACGACTTTTCCCGTTTCTTTCGGCTCGCTTTGTTCACTTTGTAAATGGTGAAACGACTACTGCCCTCGGCCGACGCCTTGAAGTCCTTCTTCGAACACCTAGAGCTGTCGTCCTCGGACCCGTTTCGGAGCATCGACGACAGCGAACGCTTCACCATCGATTGGGTGGTTCGATTCGGCCGATCAGCCGGCATCGTAGCTGTCACCACCGAGTCGGGAGAGTCTTTTTGTTTGATGGGCATCTAAAAAAACACATACAAATTTTTCAAAAATAATGATAATATTTTGTCGAATGCGCTAGTCCATAACCAAATAACGTTATTTCAGTTTTAGGATTCCCATAAGAGTAGGCAGCACTCTGGTTAAAATTAACGCGTTTAATGTTGTTAAAGATCACCGCGAAACGGAAAATACTACTTACTAATTTTGAAGCAAAATTATTTATAAGTATTTCTTTAACAATTGTACTATACCCCTGCATTTAATAACACAATATTTGGCATTAACAAAAAACCAAATATAGTACAACATTTTACTAATATAAAATATTTACTAAAATTCGAACCTGTCGTCAGACTTTTTCTAGCACGTTTTTTATTTTAAAAGTTGTGAAATACATTCAACATTTTGCAATTTCTTAAGCAATTAAATATCTTTTATTTGTTTTGTTTGTTGCATGTTTGGCCTTAAAGAGCCCATTTCTCATTAGTATATACAATTAAATTATATTGTGAAATTAAGATAACTAATTTAAATATAATTAAAAATGTTTCATAAAGAAATAATATTAATAAAATAAATAAATATTAATATATTTTATTATGAATTAATTATTTAAGCTTATATGGTATCTATAAGGGTGTGTACCACTAGAAAAGTGTCCTATAGCGGAGCATGTTATAACGTTATGAACAAAATACATAATTATGTTTGATAACATTATTTTAGCAACGATTTAACACTTTAATACTGGAACAAAGAACAATATTTTCTTAAACTCTATTATACATATTGCATCATCGCGTGTGGGTGTATAAACTCATATAACATTAAATTAATTTGAATTAAAATAAACCGTGATGTTATTAAAATTGAGATTGTTTAATGAAAATATTAAAGATTTCTCTCGTAATATAAAATATTATGTACACAAAAAAGTTATAATTATAAATTTATTCTAGCTGATTAATTTATTTCTTAACAATAAAAAGATATGAAACGGTTTTTACCTTATCTCCAATTTTATCACTTATTGAACTGACGGTCTGGTTTGGGTTCAAGACCCTAGCTACGAGATCTATGTCTTGTGGTCTGGATTTTAAACTGCCGTTTGGGTCAACTGGCAGGTTTTGCGGCGTGGCCAAAGTTGCCACCATCCTGTACAAAACATAAATTCAAAAATATAAAATTCGAGTAATGTCAATCTTGCAATACTAATTAACTATTACACTACATTTTTTTCCTAGCTATATTTTTTGTTTGGTTTTTCGGCGGTAGGAATTTATAAAGCACATGATGTCGTTCAATGGGATACAAATGCTAAATATTTAACTATGTATTACCACCAAACAGAATAATAGTAGTTATTGTTACTCACAAAAGATACATGTTCAACTAGCAGTTATCATTAAAATACTGTTACTTAAAGAATGGTTTCTAAGTACAGCAAGAAAGAGGGTTGATGGGAATAATAATATAATGAGCTCAAGTATCAAACATTTTTAAAGAGCTCGACAATTTCTATTTATTTACTTACATTATTATGAAACGCACTCAAATTAAAATACTAAATAATAATTCGAAATTCTGGAACTTTCCAAACGTTTCGAAAAATGCAATTAATGAAATAATAACAAAATATAGAATATATATTTTTATTTATAACCAAAAAATGACAGAGTATTAACATTATGTATACACTACTTACGCAGTTTCTTCCATGACTGTAGACAGGATAAAGTCTGTAGATTTGTCATTTTGTATGATGTGACAATCATCTGAACCGGGCGAATTGCCTTCTTCTTCTTCGTCCTGTTTATAAAAAGTAACGATTAAAAAATATTTATAAACACTATATAATCGTAATATAATAATAATAATATATATATGTATATATGTATAATATAATATCACTATATAATCTTGTTTGTAGTTATACAAGATCTATTAAATACGATGTTTGTTTACAAATAGTAAAAGGGGGTATGATATGATAAGAACTTGACAAAATGTAAGTAGTACGATAGCAATAAAATATAACCAAATAACGTTTACAATTATTATATCATTAATCATTCATTTTTTTTATTATAAAAAATACAAAAATAAAATTTCAGTTTATAAAATGTATTGTTTCCTCGGATGGATGAATTATTTTGTCCTACTGTAATGAACAAATCAAACACTTAGTACAGTAATGTAAAATGTGAAACGTATAAATTCCTACAGTCATTTTTAGTAATTATATTGTTAAAACACCGAAGCTAAAAGTATATATAATATATTGGACATCCCCAAAAAAAGTTCGCATCTCACTTTCTTAAACATTGCAGATTTTTTGTTGGGGGTACACATTTATATATTTGTAAGAAGTAAGATTCAAAAAATGTTTGTTTTTTAGTTACAAGACGAAGATGACTTTAACAGTCGTAAAATAGCAAATCGGCCGAGAGACCGACATGTATTGTAATAATAATAATAATATAGCTAATTGGATCACTGGTTAAACAAACACATTTTATAACCTGACTTCCGCTTCCGGTGTTCGTTGGTCCTTCGTCGATAATGGAAGAACTTCCGGGCGCTAACGAAGCCGTGGCCAGTAACGTGGTTTCGGCCAGTCTCCTTCTGGTTTGAGCGACGTTTTCGATGATGATACCCGGTTTCATGTCCCTACCGATTTGCGGTCTTCTTGCCGCCTTTGCTTTCCTCGCCCTCAGGTTTAATGCCTGAAACAATAACACAACACATTTGTAAACAAAACATAACAAGGGTGAGAGACATAAGTGTAGAAGTATTTAGAGGTACGGGTAAAGGTAGACCGAAATATAAGTGGGTTGTTTCATAACTAAAATACGTGGGTATTTGTGGAGTAGGTAAAGCAATTGGAGAAGAATAGAGATATTTTGAGGGAAGAGCAAATTTTATTTAAGATGAATATTGCGGTTTCTCTCAGAGGGGCGTCTGTCTTATCTAAAACAAGTTCAAGGTATGAGAACCAAAAGGGTAAGTGACTATTGTACAATTTTACAAGATAACAAAATGAAAATTATTTTTCTAGGTGTTCTTATGGGTGATGTTTATTAGTTTTCTAGGGGCAACTACGTTTGACAGGAAAAAAGTGACTCGAGTTAACAAATTATTGTGTTAAATAAATTGCTATAGATTATACTATTTAATGCGCGTCGTTAATGTTTATTTTGAAAATCATTCGCTTGAAAATATAATAAATGTACTGGGTCGATATTTTCCAAAGACAATTTGATTTCCAAAATGTCTTACCATTTTTCAAAAAAAACGGTTTCCTTGCTATTTAACAAGCTTACGCGCGGGAGTTACCATAATAATGAACTGTTTTGTACTGATGATTTATTGGCCACCATAAAAAAAAAATACCAAGACCAGACACGATAGAAAAGGCGACCGACTGCAGAGGTATATAGATAAAAAAAAACAAAACGCTTGCATAATAGCCGTATAAGAAGATAAATCAGTTGACACGATAAAATGCGGTTTTAATCCTCACGTGTATCATTAATACGAAGTATATACATCCGAGCAATGATAAAGATAACAGCTTTTAGGTGCGACGGCAGCGTGGCAGTGCAGTAGACGTTGTGAGGGGCGGGCAGCCGAACGGCAGTGTTTGTGGCGAACCGAGGGGAAGTGCCACCCGCTGCCACCGGCCATCAAAGACGAAGTTATTCCTTCATAAAGTGCCTCGACCGTCTCCGGTCCTGGCCGTGTCCCTCTCTCCCCGTCCGGGCTGTGACGTCCTCGGAAAGTCATTAACGCCAAACGCGTTCACATTTATTATGTATTATTTAAATACCGTTACAGCCGCGATCGGTATATTGAAAGTTTATCATACAAACTTTTGGCAAGCAGTGGAAAACGATTTATAATTTCGGCGCACGTATACAAGTGAGTGTAACGCTATAATGTATATTATGTTTTTTCCTCGGGTCTCTATCGCCCACCCCTGCCCGGTCTGACGGGTGTTTTCCTCTCCTAATACCGGACTTTTTGCATTGCACTGTTCTAGCTGTAGCTGAATCTCTTATATTATTTTCTCTGCCACTCGGCCGTTCGAACGCGTTCCTTGCGGTGCAAAACTTTCGCCGGCAACGACTTATAGCCACCTCCTACACCGTCTTTGGGAGTTTCCGAGTCGGCGGAGACGGAGATATAGAGCTACAGGTCGTGCGAGCGTGACTAAAGGACATTTCTCTCTACCTGCCGAGTGCCACCCCTCTTTGCCATTTCCTCCTATATAAATTATACACTATAGGCCGAAGTGCCTCGCCTTATCGCCGTCTCGTACCGGACGGTGGCGGCGGTGGTCACGGTTTCTATCAATTTTTCATAAAGAGTAAGACAAATAGAGAGAGAGAGAGAGAGTGTATAAATTGAATTACATTGTCCTATATGTCCGCGCTCACCCGTAACAGACACCTGTAGAACTGGCAAGAGACGGACAGCGGGCCGTTCTCGAAAACAATTTCTCCAAAAACTTTTACACCGGAGGCCACGTACCGTGCGTATATGTATGAGATAACAGAAGATAGGTAAGAATCGACAAACGGGGCGTGAAGACGGGGGAGGTGGTTTTATATATATATAAGACTATAAGCCGGCATAATCGGGCAGGGGACGAGTCGAGAGAAACGAGCGACTCTACAAATCGAAAAGTTTTCATCGGTCGTGCCAAAAGTTATGGAACAGGTCCTCTGGTGTATTCTTTGTAAATCATTCAATTTCACTTTTGTTGTACAGCCCAAGAAAAAAAGAACATTCCAAAGTTCTTTGCCCAAAATTCTAAATATGTTCACGTACGTGGTACTTTATTGGTTTTTTCATTTTTACCACCTTGAGTATCGTTTAACCATTCAAATTCGGTACCCATTTAAAGTAAACAACACCTATAAATAAGTTGGTCGAAATAAGATAAAACTTTATCTTATATGTAATAGGTATGCATGCTGTTTAAAATTACAAGAGTACGCATTAACCGGAATAAATAGCTTTATTTTTTTTTTATAAATTCACATAAATGTTTTTTTTGAAAATAGAAACCTTAAGATGTACATTAGCCAAAGTTATTGAATATAAGATTGACACTTTTGAATAAAAGATACACTCAAAAAAAAAAATTAAGGACCTGTTAGTTCGTAAATTTTTAAATGTGTTCACCGCATAATCAAAATTATTTTAACTATTTATTTTTAGCTACGATATAAAAACTATTAGATAATGGTATTTTGAAAACGGGGTAGAGAAATACTAGCACGGTGTATCGCCATGCTCGTCTCATTTGAAAGATATCACCAAGAACAAGTATTATTAATTTTAAAAGTACATAAAAAACCGTTCCTGTTCAAATTATCATTTTTTATCAGTTATTAAAGCTTTTACAGTTTATCGTATTTTTTTTAACGTTGTTTATGGTAATAAATGTATATTTTATTTAAATGAACAACGATAAAGTCGAATTCTTAAACAAGGGATGAGAAATCCCTAGCTTTAACGAGAAGTTAAAGCTAAAAAAATCGTTTATAATTAACCCTCGAAATTAAATTTTTAACGTTAACTGTAATATAAAGTTTTTTTTAATGAAACATTTTTTTTTAAAGTTCATAGAATGTTTAAACATAACTGATTAATAAAAAATATTCTTTCTCGTTAAAAGTATTTTAGCTTCAACATGGAGATGAAAAAAAAAGTATTGGCATTACAGTGATTTGTTTTGTTTTCGTGTGGTTGAACTTTTAACCACCGGATCGATTTCTTTACTTATCTAGCAATTCAATCCACCATAAATCATACAGGAATTTTATTATCTCAGGACTAACGTAAAATAACTTATCCGGTCCCCTTCAAAATCTGACAAAAAAAAAACTTTAAAAATTACATATATTTTTATCTTGAAAATACAGTACATTCCACTCTTTTGAGGGTAGTTTTTGGATTAAGGCTTGAAAATATAAAATACAAAAAGGTTCAAACATCTATAGTAAAACTTTTTTTTTATTTAGGAAACCTCTTGTAATATTTTATATGATATAACTAATGTTGGGAGTATCCGAATTTTAGAAACGCAGATTTATCAAATTTAAATTTGATTTAATTAAAAAAAAACTATTTATTCAAAAATTGAAGAAAAAAACAGGTAAATGGTCAAATCCAAACTCCAGTCCTATCCCTAATAAATACATTTATGGACATTAGTTATTTGTGTCGGTATTTAATGATTTTTATCATCTATAGACTCGCAAAGAGGCGTTTTTTTAGAGTAATTCTATCACTTTCAATTCTGACAGTTCTAAAAAGCCTTCCTGAGCTCACCATAGTGGTTTTTTATTTACATGTGAGTATATTTAAAATATGACGTGATATTGGTTTTGATGAATATGAAATAGCAATTATTAGAGTGATGTAGAGCAAATTAAAAGTTTTAGATTAGTCTTGATAAAATTGATTATATATTATAATAAATGGGACTATTTCAAGTTCTCTGGGCTGAACCATTTGTTCGACCAAAATGTTAGTGCTGTTTAATATTTCCGCGTTTGTTTGTTAATAATTCGGTCACGTCATTATCCGAGCCCAGAGGTATACATTATACATGATGTTGTTGAAACAATCCAATTTCATTACAGTAACAAAATGCATATGGTATATTCAAAAGTAAGTTTTGGCAAATGTGCAGAGTAACGTGAATAATGTGCTAAGTGTAAAACTTGAATGAATGAAATGCTTCGTTACTCTGGCGAAATTGATGATTTTGGCAATAATCCAAATACGGATAACGATCAACGCTGTGGGTTGATACTGTACATATATATATATTTATGCATATAATATTATAATAAGTGGGTACAGTGCGAACGTGTATGTGCTGCAACGGTGTGTGTTTTTAACATGTAGTGACACTTATCCTAAGTTATAACCAGCGAATCATATAGACCACGCCATAAAGATTAACCGTCGGTAAGTGCTTAGTGAATACATTCTTTAAAAATGAAGTTATTAAGGGAAATCCTTTTTAGTATAGACATACTATATCGGGTCGTTGGCCAAAATTAGTTTATATTATTATCCCAGCTGGCTTAATTAATCGGAGTTCGATTTAAATCGAGTTAGAGTTAACTGATTAATTTACCATACAAGTTAAATGTAAATATGTAAAAAACCCATCTATGTAACTCATCGCCATGCAAATTAGATTGTGCTACAATTTTGTGTTTTTAATAAGAAAATAAAATAGGAAAAACCCCAAAAAATTGTTTAGTAAAAAGTCAAAATAATTGTATCGTTATATTTTATGACCATTTCAAATATTTTTTATTTATAATATTATAACATAAGTTATAATAATTATTAATGTTTATAACTAAAATAAAATTCGTTGTTATTTCTTTTTAAGAAATGTATGGCTAAGCTTAACACAAAAGTTAAACTAATATCATGGTTAATTAAAATTTAATCTCCCAATTATGGATTTTGTAATGTTTACGAGACTATTTTGAGTATAAGTTATAACTATAAGGATTCATTAATTATTTTCGATGTATACTTAAGCGAGCCGCCACGCCGTTGGGGTCTAATGAATATTATATAATGGGTTTTGACTTTTGATGCAATGAGATTTTATTGATTAAAATCATGCACTTAAAATTAATTTATCGGCTGTTGATATTATTTGAACAAAACTTTAGAAAAGTTTTTT